GTTTAAAAAAAGAATTCCAAAAATACCACCTAACTCCAAAAAATTCCAAAAATACCACCCTTTTTCAAAAACCGCCACCCCACCCTGCGGTTTACACGAAAACCGCAGGGCGGGGGCGCGTTTTTCTATGCAAACCCCGAGTCTAGGGGGCGGTTATAAAAAAAAAAATTTGGACCAAACCGCTGGGTGGGGTGGCTGTTTGGTCCAAAAAAAAATTTTTCCGATCAACTCCTAACTTCGGCCGAAACTTCAAATGAACGTAACTTTGCACTCGGGTATCCGATCGTAGCGATTTTTTTTTATTTCGCATAACTTATCAAGATCTACAACTTTTACTAGGATGAAATTTTCAAAACAGGAATCAGTTGTGGATATACAGGACCTTGGGAATAACTTTACCTTTACTTTTCACAAATCCATGTACATTTTGAAATTATGATTATGTTAAAAGTTGTAGATCTTGAAAAGTTATGCGGAATAAAAAAAAATTCATGACGTTCGGATTTTGGAGCACAAAGTTATGGAAAAAAATCCAAATGTACCCCTGTTTAAAAAAAGAATTCCAAAAATACCACCCAACCCCAAAAAATTCCAAAAATACCACCCTTTTTCAAGAACCGCCACCCCACCCCGCGGTTTACACGAAAACCGCTAGGCGGGGGCGCGGTTTTCTATGCAAACTGCGGGTCTAGAGGGCGGTTATAAAAAAAAATTTGGACCAAACCGCTGGGTGGGGTGGCAGTTTGGCCCAAAACCGCCACCCCACCCAGCGGTTTGGTCCAAAAAAATTTTATCAACTCCTAACTTCGGCCGAAACTTCAAACGGACGTAACTTTGCACTCGAGTATCCGATCGTAGCGATTTTTTTTTTATTTCGCATAACTTTTCAAGATCTACAACTTTTACTGGATGAAATTTTCAAAACAGGAATTAGTTGTGCATATACGGGACCTTGGGAATAACTTTACCTTTACTTTTCATAAATACATGTACATTTTGAAATTATGATTATGTTAAAAGTTGTATATCTTGAAAAGTTATGCGGAATAAAAAAAATTCATGACGTTCGGATTTCGGGGCACAAAGTTATGGCCGCCCAAAGTTTGACGAAATAAAAAAAAAGGCTCGTTCGGATGGCAAATGACGTTATTTCGAGACGAAGGCGGGACCCTGTGGTTTACGGCTTGAAAGATCTCAAAAAGTTATTCGGATTCAAAAAATGGAGGCCGCAAACTTTTTGAGATCTTGCAAGCCGCAAATCGCCGGGTCTCGCCTTTCGTCAAACTTTTGGCGGCCATAACTTTGTGCTCCAAAATCCCAACGTCATGAAATTTTTTTTGATTCCGCATAACTTTTCAAGATCTACAACTTTTAAGATAATCATAATTTAAAAATGTACATGGATTTGTGAAAAGTAAAGGTAAAGTTATTCTCAAGGTCGAGTATATCCACAACTAATTCCTGTTTTGAAAATTTCATCCTAGTAAAAGTTGTAGATCTTAAAAAGTTATGCGAAATGAAACAAAAATCGCTACAATCGAATACCCGAGTGCAAAGTTACGTTCGTTTGAAGTTTCGGCCGAAGTTAGGAGTTGATCGGAAAAAAAAATTTGGACCAAACCGCTGGGTGGGGTGGCGGTTTTGGGCCAAACCGCCACCCCACCTAGCGGTTTGGTCCAATTTTTTTTTATAACCGCCCCTTACCCCCGCGGTTTGCATAGAAAATCGCGCCCCCGCCCAGCGGTTTTCGTGTAAACCGCAGTGTGGGGTGGCGGTTTTTGAAAAAGGTGGTATTTTTGGATTTTTTGGGGTTCGGTGGTATTTTTGGAATTCTTTTTTTAAACAGTGGTATTTCTGGAAAAATGGCCGCCCAAAGTTTGACGAAATAAAAAAAAGACTCGTTTTGGGTGGCAAATGACGTGTTTTGAGACGAAGGTGGGACCCGGCGGTTTGCGGCTTGCAAGATCTCAAAAAGTTATTCGGATTCAAAAAATGGAGGCCGCAAACTTTTTGAGATCTTGCAAGCCGCAAACCGCCGGGTCTCGCCTTTCGTCAAACTTTGGGCGGCCATAACTTTTTGCTCCAAAATCCGAACGTCATGAATTTTTTTTTTGATTCCGCATAACTTTTCAAGATCTACAACTTTTAAGTTAATCATAATTTCAAAATGTACATGGATTTGTGAAAAGTAAAGATAAAGTTATTCTCAAGGTCCTGTATATCCACAAATAATTTCTGTTTAGAAAATTTCATCCTAGTAAAAGTTGTAGATCTTGAGAAGTTATGCGAAATGAAAAAAAAATATCGCTACGATCGGATACCCGAGTGCAAAGTTACATTCGTTTGAAGTTTCGGCCGAAGTTAGGAGTTGATCGAAAAAAAAATTTTGACCAAACCTCTTGGTGGGGTGGCGGTTTTGGGCCAAACCGCCACCCCACCCAATGGTTTAGTCCAAAATTTTATTTTTTTATAACCGCCCCTTAGCCCCGCGATTTGCATAGAAAACCGCGCCCCGCCCAGCGGTTTACGTGTAAACCGTAGGGTGGGGTTGCGGTTTTTGAAAAAGGTGGTATTTTGGAATTTATTGGGGTTGGGTGGTATTTTTGGAATTATTTTTCTAAACAGTGGTATTTCTGGAAAAAGTCATAGAAAAAGTAGAAAAAGACTAGTTTTTTCCCTCTAGAGATTAGATGAGAAGAGAGATGGTTTCTATAGAAGTGACGTGGACGCATAGAATTCCAGGAAGACTAACGTGAAATTTAGGTCATCTCTAATGATTACATGAGATTCTGTTAATAAAATTTGCATTATACTTATAATTTAAAATATTTTGGTATACATTTTTCAAAAAAAAATTTGAAATTTAAAGTATGACCCAAAAATGGATGTATGTAAGTTTGGTCAACATATATAAGCTAAACACAATACTTTATGAGTGATGCTAAGTCTTGACTCTTGCTTTTGGTGGATGTTTACATTATATATTTATTTTTAAATGGTGGTTTATAAAGTTCAACTATAAGAATTTGTTATGCAGTAGACATAACACTCAACAATTATCTTATACAATATACATTAATCAATAATTCACTATGTTTAAACTAGCATTTGCCATATATATATATGGTTACGTCTTCGGTGCACTCACTTTTTTGGGTGCATTCAATGCACTCACTTCATAATTGACATTTTGAGCAGGCGATTCATGTTTAAACAATGTTAATCATCACATATGATAAGACGAACAAGAAACCCCATGAATTGGCACAAAAATTATTCCAAATTTACATTAATTTGATGGAATTATGGTTTATGGATTTAGGGTTAGGGTTCATGATTTGGGCTTTAGGACAAAAGTTTAATTGAAGGTTTAAAGCTTAGGGTAATGCATTGATTAGTTGTGATCTTATGCTATATCATCATATTACACTAATCTTGCCAATCAAAATAAAAAAATTGATGTCTTAAGGCTACTTTTAGAGTTGGGTGCATTGAATGCACTCATTTTTGTGAGTGCACCGAAGTAGCCACCATATATATATATATATATATATATATAAGGTCGTATTCGGTGCACCCACTAGTGCACCCGCCTCATAATTATCATTCTGAGCATGTGATTCATGTCAAAACGGTATCAATTGTTGCTTATTAATTATGAACAAGAAGCACATGAATTTGAAAAAAAAATATTCAAAATTTACTTTAATTTGAAGGATTTAGGATTTTGGGATTTAGGGTTAGGGTTTAGGTTTACAATTTGGGATTTTGGGTTGGGATTCAAAATTGAAGGTTAGGGGGTTAGGGTAATAGATTGATTTGTTATGATTCTATGTCATATCATCATATTAGATTGAGAGTACTAATTGAAATTCAAAATTTGATGTATTATGAACACTTTTAGAGTTGGGTGCACTGAGTGCACCCAAAAAAGTGAGTGCGCCGAAGTAGGAAGAGTTGCACCTTGTTCGAGAGCCCATGAACTACATAAGGCATATGGTGCTCACGGAAGCAAGAAGAGTTGCACCTCAAGTTGAAGCTGCAGTGGAAGAGTACAAGAAAACCCATGAAAAGAGGAAAAAGGAAAGAGAAGAGCAAAAGGAAACCCAGTCAACGAGCCCAAGAACAACCTGATTTTGCGTTTTAGTTTTCAAGATGATGGACAACAGTTATGTTTTTTTTTCTCAGGATGATGGACAACCGTTTTTTATTTGGTTCGGTGAATGCTTATTATTTTTGGTTTTTATATTTGGTTTTTGGTTTGGTGAATGCTTTTATATTTGGTTTTTGGTTTGGTTTGGTGAATGGTTTTAATATTTGGTTTTTGGTATTGTGAATGCTTGCTATATTTGGTTTTTGGTATTGTGAATGCTTTCTATATTTGGTTTGGTTTGGTTTGTTTTTTCGTGGAAATGGCAAAGGGACTTCACCAAAATTCCAGCTTCCAACTTGTGAGTGAGGTTGCTTCTGTTCAAGGCTTCAAGCCATTGTATCTTATAGAGAGGTTTAATTGGGATCATGTATAGTTAAACTGATTGGCTCCCAATCGTATAATTAAATTTGCATTCATGTATAGGTAACCTCAAAAGGTAAAACTGATTGGCTCCCAATCAGTATAAATAATGACCAAACCCAGTACAAGGCAGATAGAAAATTCTTATGTAATTAATTTAATGTTCCTAGGATATGGAAAGGCTTCCATGTAAAGGATTGAAAGTAGTGATTTACATTGATGAGGAGAGTGGCTTAAGTACCAACTCTTGAACAGATTGAAGCTACAAAGTAGGAGCCACTAACCCACTAACTAAAACTTATGACGTTACTAACTAATAATAATAAAATTAATTATTTACAGAAATTGAATTTATGCACAGCCCTTATCATTCCATTCCTTGAATTTCCACCAACGATGTTTTCACTCCCCTTTTAGTCAGAGAATTCATTGTAGTAATAAATACAATAAAAAGGCATACATAATTAATGGATTCTTTATTGTGTATAATTAAAAGGATATTTTACTATAAACGAAGCATGATAGATCCACAGGGGGATAAAAGAAGCATGAGTTTTGACGAAAAAGGGGAAAAAATCACCATACATAAAAAATCATTATAATCAACCTAATTGGAACTGCTTAGAACAAAAGCGGATTAAAATCTCCCCCAATGAAATTCATTTGCAATTTCATAGGTAGTCCCTACTTCCACTTCTATAATTTTGAGAAAACATTGCAATTTCATCAATAGTCCCCACTCGTGGGCCAATTTCAATTGCAACCAAATTTGCACCCTTGCAATAGCTTCTCACATCATAGCAAGTGTAGGATGCAATTGCACCTCCTTGCTTAGGGATGACCATTACTGCATCTCGTCACCTGTCTTAGGGAAATTAGCCATGGCAAATTCACAAAATACTGCATGCATAGAAAAATATTTGTCTGGATAATTAAAAAAATGGGAGACTTTCCTAGTCAGATGATGTACTGGCTCCCCTCAGTACCTGACAGTTTTGAGTGCTGGAGAAAAAGACTGGAAAAAAAAACAACGAAGCCTTACAGTAAACTTCTTAACAAAACACATCCAATGCTGGCCCCTTCACTGCTCCACCCCGCCATGCACTGCTCCACCCCGCCCTGCATCAATCGACTCTCATGTAAGCCGAGGACGTTTGCTTGAAGATGCCTCAGGGGTCTCTTCATGCTCCGTATGCCGAAGGTCATAAAAAGTATTGGTCACTTCGACGATGCGGTAGACTGGCAAATAGGCGGAATGGTCCTCCCTAGCATAAACCCCCATATCCATCCCAACCCTTCCAAGAAAGGTGGTCAAGAAGGTGGCATATGGAAAGGCAGTGTACCAGTTTACCCCTCTAGGAGCAGCCTCAACCATGTTCACGCACATGAGAGATGCGAGGTTAAGAGGAACACCTCTTTGAGCTTGCACAAGGATAAACAGGTCAAGTTTACGAATTATCGAATGACCATTGTACCTTAGCATGAAGCAGTTGACGATCATCCAATGGAGGAATCGAAGAGGATCTGGGAGGAAAGAAGCCTGGATGCGCCCATTCGTCAGTCTCGCCAGTTCAACTTCGAACACAAAATCGTACAGCCGAAGATCGCTTCTGCTATCAATGTGGTGTCCTGCGGCGGGGAGATCGAGGATCTCAGCAAACTGATGAGGCGGGAAGGAGGTTCTATAACCCAGGAAGACCGACACGAGATGAGAATCGGAGGGACCAGACAGCTCTAAATTGTGGTAGAACTTCCTCACCACATGCGGGCAGTAACTGGTGCTTCCTCGACTCCGGAGATCAAAGAACTTTTCCCAGCCAAGATTTTTAATTAACTGCTTCACTTCTTGAGGGAAAGGGGACAGGTGGATGAACTCGTGCTCGGCCACAATAGATGTCTTGCTCGTGAATGAAAGATAGTCCGCGAGACTTGGGGTGGATCGGCAGTCGTCGTTTGATAGAGTTAGTATGCCCATATCCGCAAACGATTTGCCTTTGTTTGCCATGGAGTCAGAGGAAGAAGGAACAAGGGAAGGTGAAGATGGAGGAAAGAGAGATTGTAGGTGTAAGAAAAAGTGACCGTGGGGGTTGAGTGTGGAGACGTGTGATGGAGACGGTTGAGTCTGGAATGTCAAGAGTTAGAAGATTTGGGAAGATATGTAGTAATGATGATGTTAACTCGTGTAGGTTAAACTAGGGTAACTAAAGCTAGTTAAACTAGGGTTGGCGCTGATACCGCAGGAGAAAACTAATGGGCTCGCACGTTCCAGGCCCACTTTTGAATATTGCATGGGTCATGTACAAGCCCACGTTTGAATGTTATTTAAAAGCCTGCAAAAATCAATGATCAGACCCAGTCCAACTAGAATTAGTCCTAAACGCACCGTTAATACATAAACACAAACTAAGGAGACCTCTCCATCCGATTCGAATCAAATTATGTGTTCTTCATCTTCTTCCTCAATCCTCTAGGCGAGACGAACACTACATATCAGGAAACCTAAATTCACCGAGAGATATAAGGCTCGAGAAAATCACAATAACGCTAAGACAAGATGACAAAGCACTAGGGACATGAACCCTAGGGTTAGCAAACCTCTTTCAAGGGTTCTTTTGCAAATGAAAAGTTCGATGAACACAATAATAGACATGGTCGCCGTAATCGTGTTAGAAAGAGATAGGCGAGGGGAAATACAATGGCGAAGAAGAAACAAGACAATTTTTTTTTTGGGAAATTCAATCTACGTCGAATGTGGATGGGGAGCTTCTCTTGGAACTGTGAAGGGGCGTCCCTCCAAGACGAGAGAGGGATCATGTAATTGGTTAGGGAGACTGAAAATTGGTTTGGGCGGCAGTGGGTCTACCCAATTGGGTTTGGGTCTTAATCCATTTAATTTAATCTGGGCAGTTAATTGGACTAGGATGAAAACAAACTTAACGCGGAGGAGGCTTTTTGTAATTTGTTTAGTTATTTAGTGGCGCAGTTAGGTTTAACAAACGTGAGCCGTGGAGATTGAAAACGAACGGTTAAGATCGGCCAAGGTACCCGTACCCGGCTTTTGCCCTGGGCGCCGTAGAAGTCACCATATATATATATATATAAGTTTTTAGACTAATTATAAGTCAAGTTTATCGAATTTATTTATGTTATACAGTATGCTGATCCATATGAAATGTTCTTCCCTTGAACAATGAATTTATAATGCTTATCATTTCTATTTCAATAAAATTTAAAAACTCTTATAAATATTATTACTTCTACATGCAATTAAAATTTATGATATGTTGCAAAATACCTATTATGTGTTGAGTATGGATACATTCACAACATAACACCTAAAAGAAAATCTAAAAATTATATTATCAAAAGAATTATCCAAAGGCCATGTTGGGGGAGATTAATGTACAAAGCCCATTTATTCAAAAAATAAAAGGGAACGAAATGTAAAGGGAAAAAAAATGAACTTTTCCCATTTAAAAAGCAAACCCGGTTGCCGTTAAAAAAAATTGTGAAATGGGGGACCAAAAATGCCTAAAGCGAAAGGGGAAAGAAGAAGTTTGTTTGAATTGGGACAAGCGGAAGAGAGAAGGAATTATGATGGAGTAGGGAGGAGAGATAAGGTGATGACGTGGTAGTATGAGTGGAAGTAAAAATTGAATTCCTGAACGGTAGTTTGGGAAAATGCTTAAATGTTTTTTTAGATTTAGATAAATGCCTGATTTAACGGTGAGTTTTGCGGATGGATATTGGGGTGGGCAATCGATTCGGTAAACCCGAATTGAATCAAATTGAAACCAAATTAAATCGAAGCGAAACAGAATTAATGTTGTTCGGTTCGAAATTCGGAAGACAAATATGAATATTTCGGAAACCAGGGTTCTTTCAACCGAACAGAATTTCCGAATTTCCGATCGAAAAACCGAATTATTATAATTGCAAGCTCCAAATGGTGGATTTTTATGTTTGTACTTGTTTTGATACTTAAATATTTGAATCATGTTAGTGTTTTATCACTTATGTGTTGAAATGATTGATTTTATCATTGATAATGCATATAATTACATATTTATTGTTTACATTAGTGGTGAAAATGGATATGACCTAGGGGTGGCCGACAATCAGAACTATACTTTTCTTTTTCATTATATTCATTTTAATGGAAAAATAAAAAAATGGATATTAAAATTCCACGTCAGATGCCACATCAGCGCTGACTAGACTTTCTGTTAAATACTAACTGTCAAGGTCGGTCAACACTAATGGAAAAATAGTTTAGGGCATAAATGAAATATTGAATAAATCAGGACACAAGTGACATTTTTTTGAAAGTTCGGGTTTCCTAGTGATATTTGCCCAATAATTTAAAATGGAGAAGATACAAGTATTCTCACAAGTTTGGTTTTGTGTGAAATTTCGAACCAAATTGAATTATAATTCGGTTTAAACCGACCGAACTGAATTATAATTCGGTTCGAATTTGGTTTGAGGTTTGGTGGAATTTGGGGACCTGGTATGCATAATTTCGGTTCGGTCGAAACCAAACCAACTGAATATCCACCCGTATGGGTATTTGTGTCACAATTTCAATTTTAAATCTACGCTTATTTTGTGCTCTCGTTTTTATTTTAATGGTGTGTTTCTCTATGGGCGGGATTTCCTCTTGATTCTTTCTCACTCAATTGTCTCGATTAGGGTTATCAAATCTCTACATTAGCCAAGATCTTCTCAATTCAAGGAACTCGGTCTCTGTTTAATTTTGCTTTGTTAGATCTCGTTCTTTCATATTTCTCCGAGGTATAACAGGCGACATCACTCACTTTGTTTTTCTTGAGTTCGTCTTCGGTTGTATTTGTTCGTTAATTTTCGCTTTGTTTAGGTGAAGTGAAGGGAAAGGAGTACAAAAAAAACTCTAAGGACACAAGGAGATTGACACAAGGAAGGATTACAATGCTGCTTTATTTGTTTGAGATGGTTCAAAGAGTTCAATTATTACAAGGTATATAAATGACGAAATGACCACAATCATGGCAATATCTCTCCTTTGTTGAGTGAGTATATGAGGTCAAATTAAGTTGTTGTTAGATGTCAATGAAGCTACTAACATGTATTACAACATCATATAATGCAGACAGTAATGCTTATGATGGATGAAATAATGTAGGTTTTGGGAAAGATAATGCGAAGAATTACATTAGATGAATGTAGATCAAAGGTGCTTTATGAGGTGGTTGCTGATATTAAAGTTAACATTGCAAGCATATTTTGAGCTTATAACTTGTGAGAAAATGCAGATAAATAGTTAGTTTTTTGTGATTCTATTAGTTTTGTAACCACACATAACACAAATAAACGAGCATAGCCCACTTGGTGAGTTTTATGTGTTTTGATTTTGTGTTTTTGTGATGTATTCTTTTATATCATATCACAGAGTTATGATCTTACCATTGTGGTATGATGATCTCACTAGTGTAGTACAATTATCTTAGCAGTGTGGCAGGTTAATGATGTATCTTTAGCATTTATAACAACTTTATTTGTTGGATAAAACAAACATCACTAGCTCAATGTCTTTGGTGGCGACCTTTTATATAATGAGAGTAAGACGGTGTGTGAGTGGTTGTTTGATACATTCTTGCCATGCATGGAAAACGAAGTACCTGCAATTCATGTTCATTGATCAAGCTCTTGCAATAATTGATGGTATAAGGTTCGTTTTTTATGGTATGTGCACATTTCACGTTGCGCAAAATGCAATATCTAGGATTGGGTTGCAATGTAATTCTGAATTTCTTGCAGATTTTAATTATTTGATGTTTAGTGTTGAGGATGAGAGTATTTTGAGTGCTATTGAGAATTTATTTCGTGGTAAGGCCCCATGGGACATGAATGGTTGAAGAGAACTTATAGTTTAAAACATAAATGGTCCTTTGCTTTGATAAGTTTCATTTTATTGATTGAATGAGGTGCACACACAATTTAGTATAATGAAAAGCAATATATGCAATCTAATTCAATATTAACATAAACATGATTTCCTCTAAATACTGGAGTAACTGAAAAACAATCCAATTTATGGACTTCAATAATCGCTAAAACAAGGATACACACACTTAAGGAAGGAATGCAATCCAAACGCTCAACACATACTCTGTAAAAACAAAACCCTCCTACATCCCTATCGTCATATAACAGTCATCACAAAAAAGTTTGTGCTACCAGGTTAAGCTTGGAAGAATATTTACCTATAAAAAATTACAAACAATTTTACATATTGAATTGTGTTTAAGCAAACCTAAATGATTATTATCATAATGAATGGGAGCACTTGTACAAAAAATGAGAAAAATGGTTACCAGCCTAAGATAATTACTAATCTACTAAATTCCACACACGTATATTTTCTCTTAGGACCAATTACTTAAAACATACATTTCTTATTCATTCTATTTTTACAATTCAAAATAGAGGTCCATGCTCTACCAAAATTCCTATCATGGTTTAGGTTGTTGCCCCATTTGCCTAACTTCCTCCTGCAATTTTTGCTTCTCGTCCATCCAGCGCTGGTTGGCATTGTCGTCGACAGGAGGGAGGTTGCATGGAGGCTCCAATGAGGGGGAAGTTGTAGATTTTTTAAGGAATAACTTTTGTTTCTCGTCAGCAAAGCACAAGACAGAATCTGGACACACCTCAAGCGCAGAGGGAGGTGGGACAGGCTTGAACATCTGGAGCTTGGAATATTGAGTGATGAGATGGAACATGTAGTCGTAGATTCTGTCCATACTCAAGCTCGCCATGAAGTCCTGTCCTGCTTGACCAATTGCTTGAGCCTGTTGGTGAGAGATGCAAGCAAAACGACATCCAAGTTGAGATGTTGATGTAATCAAGTACAAAATCAGAAGTTGGTAGATGACTGAAACAAATTCAGATTACTTATTTTCTATGCAAACAAATAGTCGAGAGCATTTTAACAACGTGAACTCTCGAGGCGTGTACCGACATTTACAACTACAAGATTTGCGATAAGATCATGGCAAGATATGAAACTAAACTTGAAAAATTGTTTACATAAGTGAGATCAAGTAGGAAACAATACCTCAAATGGGTGTGTATTCCCCCAATCAACAGCCGACTTTATCGATTTACATAAGTCGACAGGAGATACTGGCCAATAATTTTTCTTGGGAACGAGGCCGCGACTAAAGAAATCCTCATACCGTGGTGAAATTATTAGGGTCATGGAACCACAAGATAAGATATATTTCAAACTCACGGACCAAGCAAAGCCTTCTGCATAGATCTTGTACCTACAAACAGAGGAAAAGGGCAATGAAAACAGAGGCAAAGTCAATCACCAGCTGCCAGATCGGTCTCCTAAGTCTTTGTTATCAGTAGGAAACAAATGACTTCAAAATGGAATAGACTTATTGATCCAGTCGACATGAAGAAAATGAATCCTTATATGAAATGGGCTACATAATGCATATTTCATTATGGTCTTTCCTTCAATCCTTTATGATCACAGTCACGCCAAAGCAAAGAAATAATCTTGTTGATCACACAACCATCTTCCTAGGTGCTCTCAAGGCACTGTTCTTGATATATTGCACTTCCAAGCTAGTAAGTAGATGACACAACCAAGTAAAGCACACTCACCGATAGTTGCACTGATTTGATAGTTTGGAGGCCTCGAAACCTTCTTTTGCCTCTTGCACCCAATCCTGCAACACACAGAGACAAGCCTCAGTAACAACTTCACCGAAAACCTTCTTCAAAGGTATATCTTTGACGACAAAAAAATATTATTTAAAAACTAGACCTGTCGCATAATTTGTGCTCCCCATTTCCTGGAGTCATTGCATTGCAACAACTCTAGACGAACAGGGGAAACAACGTCTGGATTTCCCTTCCAGAATGCACGAGGTTGCTTTTTCGGCCATCTTTTAGTTTGAGAGCCCTTTTTTATGTCCGGAAACTCCTCGCTCCATGGCCGAATATTAATCTCTGACCTGCACAACAAACCAAACTAGTTTTGATTTCTGGAAAGTGGGAGTATATAGACATAATACAAAGTGAAGGTAAACTAAATAAATATATGCTCTTACCAACCCCAGAAGGACCAATCCGGGAAAGGAATGTCGAAATGCTCACGAGTAGTGCAATATCGAAATAAAGGCACAGGGTTGGACTGGCGTTCAGTGCGGTTAAGAATAGGCTTGTCCATGCAATCAAACATGAGATCAACATCAGGAACCATGCCAGGGTACTTCCGCAACAGCTGTACAAATCCCCATATTGTCACCATCATTCGACTTTGGAAGCAAGCATAGTAAGGATCCAAATACAGCCTTCCCTGGAAGATGACAATACGGAACGCCGCAAAGTTCTTGGCCTCCATGACTTGATTCTCTGTTATCCCGGTCTTATCCCAAGGCGCCAGATCCCGGTGGATGTAGCTGAAAAATTCTGGGCACTGAGCAGCGGGTTTGGAGGAGCTAAAATGAGGTCGTTCGATGATGCTTCTATTGAAATAAGGACAGCTGAGGTAGGAGCACTGTATAATCTTGTAAGCTCGAGACTGACGGGTTTCGTCGTCGAAGCTCTTGGCCGGGAAAACGTGCCAGGGGGTGGGCTCCAAGTTGTGGCCGGCCATCGTTTTGATGCTCGTTGCGAAGTCATCAACCTGTTTGACGAAATTTCTCAACCAACAATTATTCATGAATTATCATGGAAACTAGAAGGAAAAAATTAGAGGGTTCACTATTTAGGGAAATGGATGATCATTCATCTTACCTTGTACAGGAAAAAGAGGGTGAAAAGGGCTAAAGCGACTAGGGCAGGGAGGAGATAGGAGGGCGAACGAGGGGGTGAGAGCCTCGGCGGAGCCACCATTGTAATTGGGTTGGAAAATAGCTGCAGCACAAGAGGGAGGAGGGGCGTCGTGGTTTTGGAGAAAAGAGAAGATGGACGGAGAAACCAATGTCATCTTCAAATGGTGGGTAGTCAGCCTATTTGGTATAGAGATTTTCTGCTCTCTCTCCCTTTTTTTGGGAGATTCAGCTCAACTTTCTAAGGCCAGAGATATTTCTCCGCCTTTCTCTCTGCTCGACTGATTAAATTGTTTGCTTTTTCCCCTACCATCGTCGGAGTCAATCCATTTTCGGCAATGTTTCTTCTCTCTCATTCATCATCACATCACATGCTTCTTTAATGGACGGCGAGAATTCATTTTCTCGATGAAATATTGTACTCCAAAAGTGCCCACAACATAACTATGTTCCCGATACTGGCGGGAAATATTTAATAAGCACATGTATGTGATCAAGTGTTTGACAAAAAAGTTTCAAATATAAAACAGAATAGTCATTATTTTTATATAATATTCTTAAACATTGAGTTTTTTTTTTTTACAAATGGGCTATGATAACATTTCATACCAAATTTGGCTATATCAATGTGATCATGTGATTCCATACCAAATTTTTGTTGTACCAAAAAAATTTCTGAGAACAATGTCTCAAAATAAAATATTTAAGTTTGTAAGAGTAAGCAAATTTTATTTATATCGAATTAACCTAGTAAAAAAAATATTTTCATATTCCACCCAACAAGTCGAAATCAATGGCATTGATTATGGTCGAGAATACAATAAACTCTTTATATATTATGTTTAGATATTAACAATATATGTGCTTACGATACGTCCAAGAATTCAAATGCCTGGGAAATGTCACAATGTTTGTATGAACAAATACCAAAGAGAAGAAATTTTAGCAAATGTCCATTCAAATATTTGGAAAATTATACACAAAAGAATCATGTTAAGACGAGAACCATCGATAATGCATGTGAATGTCTTGGATTGAAATTCTAAATCAACATCTAGACGACAACCATGTGTTGAGGGCTAATCCAAACTTCAAAAATTAGCAATTGATGCGTATTGTATAAGCTGCTAAATTTTAGTGCCATAATAGACAAATTATGTCATAAGATCCTATAACAAGACTTTAAGAACATTCACAATGAAAATGAGCGAGGATTAGAGAATTTAATCGTAATAAGAGATACGATGTTGGTCAAGTTTCAATTACAATAAACTGAATTTATCCAGAATTAAGTATCTTTATCCAATAAATTGAACTCTCACAAGTTGGTTGAGAGTTCATCCAAATTCTAGAATCACGAATTGAGATATGTTGTATAAGATAAGAACAAGTTTCAATTACAATAAACTGAATTTATCCAGAATTAAGTATCTTTATCCAATAAATTGAACTCTCACAAGTTGGTTGAGAGTTCATCCAAATTCTAGAATCACGAATTGAGATATGTTGTATAAGATAAAAAATTTGATTTTTTGGATGACAAATCATGATATTCGATCCTAAATGGGACGTAATAAACCTTCACAATATGATTCATTATTAGCGAGTTTACTAACTATTAAGTATTAAGGTCTATATTTTTTAATACATATTGATAATTTAATTAGTATAAAAATAAAATGAAATTATCCGGCCAACAAATCGGCTATATTAGTCTTTTACTATTTTGATATTATTGACTATGGCTTATAAAAAATATTCAATTCTTATAATCAGTGGCGGACCCAAGTGTTGGCATGGTGTGTCGTCTGACACACTTTCGCCCGAAAATTTAAATTTATTGTTATAAAGTCGAGCAAGTAGGTTGAGTGTTAATGATTCGATCGGTTTAGTTTGGATATATGAAAGAATAAGGGTTAGTATATTTGTATAGCCCGAACTTTACACAAATTAAACATCCTGGTCAATCTTTTCGATCTATAACTCTGTGGCTTCAACTATGCATCTAAGTTACAAAATTGGCCAAACCCAAAATTTGATAGTTACCTTAAGGGTCAAACGCGTTAACTAAGGGTCAATCCGCCACGTCACTACGAAGTCAGCACACACCACTTGAAAATTTTGGTTTTTCCCACCTATTATCATTTATGTTTTTTATTTTGAACAAAAAAGAAAAATAAAGGAAAATAAATTTTAAATAAGAAGATGAATGATAATAGGTGGAAAAAACCCAAAAGTTTAAGTAGTATGTGCTGACTTGGCAGTGAGTGTTACGTGGTGCGTTGACCATTAGTCAGCGCGTTTGAACATCCAAGATAACGGTCAAATCTCGGGTTTGGCCAATTTCATAACTTTAATGCATAGTTGAGGCCACAAAGTTATAGATCAAAAAGATTGGCCATGATGTTTAATTTGTGAAAAATTCAGGCCATACAAATATATTAACCCAAAAAATAATTATATCTTTCCTACATCTATAAGTTATATAAAATCTCATCTAACATATGTATAATAACATATAACATTGCACCAAAATAACGGTTGGTAATTGAATTCCAACATATAGTGAAAATTCAAACACACTCATATAACATAAATATTCAAATGTTGTAACACCCTACCCTATACGTTTTGCCTAATCATATTGCAGCGGAATTAATCTCGAGTGTTACATTAATTATCAAAATTTACCCAAATAAAATTTCGACATGAATTACTCGCGTAATTGGCTAACAGTTCTTGCAACTTATCCTGCAAAATAATTCATCACAAACATATATACTCACAACCATATGCATTGGCTTTTCTTAGCCATAGTCACACTTTTCATACTCCACAACTGCATACCATACTTATACATACCATAATCGTCACAACTTACACAGTTACACAACATATACACATATCATCAACTTTCCACACCTGTGGATATCTCACACTACATCAGAAGCTAGTAGCACATGAAAAACGTTCTCAAAACATTTTTTTACAAAAAGGTGTGGATCACTGGCCAAAATCCCAAGTAGTCGTCCAAGCACAGAATAGTTGAAGACCATACCTCATCTTGGCTTCAACTCTAGCTACTCTCCCACCTAACACTTATCTATTGCCGCTGCTGATGATCTGCTTACACATAGCATAAGCAGAGAAGAGAATAAAAGAGGGTCAGCTCATGGCTGAGTGAGACAATCATTGCATCGTGAGTTCATAACAGAGCATACCCCTACCATACATCTAACAAACAAGCCAAAGCACTAGGATCGGACCTCAACCATCCGACATCCCAATAGGCAAAAGACTCCACCATCTTGACTTATGCATATGCATCTTATCATGTTTTACTTATAGGCGCCTGGCTACTCCCATGCTAATAACTCTCCCGAGAAACATACCCCACATCCCGTCAGATGTAGTCATACATACCCCAACATCCCGTCGGATGTGGTCATACATACCCCACACCACTATGGGTGTAGTCATACCCCGACACCACTCTGGGTGTGGTCATATCTCGTAAGAATTCTTCAGTCACCACCACATGAGAGGTGTGACTATGATACATATCATAATAGAGTAATAGCATAGGGAGCCCTAATTACTATGTAGTTGATCGTGAGACCACAACACTCATATTTGGTATCCTTATACATGATTCATATCTCATCTTGCTTAATCATAATTCATTACTTGCACATGTACTTGACCTGGCCATAATTGGCTCAACATATGTAAATCAGGAGTCGTATAATTGCACTTCCTCGGGATAAACCCTCGTGCAAGTCATCCTCCTTAAACATCATAATATCACCCTGGGAAGTTTATTTCCCCCACTTGTGAATCCAAAAACAACCACAATATCACATCATGTCAAAACACCCGATCGAACAGCCATGAAGTCATATCAATGGTTAAGCCACAAATGGCAACATGTATGCAATCATCAACATAAACAAGGTACATATCGGCTAGGGCAAGTCAATAATATCATACAACAATCCATGGTTCATCATATAGCATAAAAGTCCATACACCCCTAATCATGCCATTCTAATTCACCTAGGTCAATTCTAAGCATCAATATAATTATCGTGATACGACAAACCCGGTATGCTGTGCTAATCCCTCACCAGTTCTGGTCGTTCAAACACCGGTTTAAGCTTCCCGTACTAAAACGTCAGTTTCACGAACGAACCCCGAATTAAAATTCGAGACCGTCCTAATATCCCATGCAGTATCCCCGTCAATATTAGTTCTAGGCTCCGGGTCAAATTCTTGATAAAAACACATCAAACCCTGGCCGGAGCTAAATTCAGCGATCTCGGCTCCGACCTAAATAATAGCCAAAATTCATGGATTAGAACCAGAAGATTAATTACCTCGCTGCAGGAAGCTCGTATATAAAATTTGGGCTCAATCAGGCTTCCGGATACTCCGAAACCCTAATTTGACTTATCGGGAATTCAAGAAATTCCTAAACCAAAAACTCGATTTAAAGCTCTAAATCGATAAATCACGATGTATAGATGAATTAGGCATTACTTACGGGATTTTTGGATCACTAGGGCTCAAGATTGGAGCTTTGGAATTTTTCCCCAGTCGCTCCCTGAACTCTCCGCGTTGCCTCTGCTCTCGGTCTGAAAATGGAAAAAAGGAAGATGAAATGGTTTATGGAAAAGTAATGAGACGGGAGAGGGAGTTAAATGGACCTATATATATATATATAATTAATACGTATACTTATCCGATCGATCGATAATTCAATTTTCGTCGAAATACTACCAAAATGCTCGATTTTAAATCGTGAAATTTTTTAGTGACAATAATAGGATTTTAGCCGAAACGGGATGTTACAAATGTTCAGATTAGAATTCAAAAGGAGAAGAGGCGTAATGCGCAAACCAAAGGAAAAAACAACGTCATGTGGCCTCCAGAATAATTAAATAGTTGAGAATATGAAAAGTCGTCGTGATTCGTTGTAAGAGGTAATGACATTGTAAACTTTATGAATTAATTATTTCATGAAATTTTAATTTAATATGAATAATTTTTAATTAATTATTTTATTTTATTTTATTTTATTTAGTCAACCAACAAACCTATTCAAAAATCCTGGGTCTACCACTGCTTACAATCCCAGTAAACGTGTTAATTGCTTACAATCTCGTCGTTAAGTTTTTGGACGGAAAAGACAACTGTGCAACGAAATTTGAGTTTAACTGCTTTAGTTGCAACCAAATGAATTTAAGTGGTTAATGTGCAACAAATCTGAAATTTAAATGACATCTAATGCAATTAACCCCCAAGTAAACACACCAAACATATAAGGGTAAATTGCAAGTTTGGTCACTGGATTTATAAAAAAGGTTCACATTTGGTCACTAAAAATATTTAATTCCATTTGTGGTCACTAAAATTAGTTCAATCATTCGAGTCTGGTCACTCACCGTCCAACTCCGTTAACTTTTGCTGATGTGGCAGTCAACTCTCATAGTTGACCGTTAAATGAGTGATGTGGAAATTAAAAAATAAATAAATATTTAAATTTAATATTTAAAATTTCTATCTCATTTTCGTAATTATTAAAAAATTAAAATAAATAAGGTAAAATAAAATAGAGTTGCTCCCCTCCCTCCCAGCACGTTGATGGTTTTCCGGCGATAGATCCCAAACCTGCGATCTTCTCCATCCAGATCTTCCTCCGGGAATCCGTCCCCAACCCTCTCGTCTCAGATTCTGAGCTCCATTCGAAAGCTAAGGCCCCAACAACAACAAGCCTGATGCCCCTCGAGGAACGGATCTCGTTGTCAGCAAGCTGTGGTTGTCGGTGCAGAGCCGGAGAACCTAGGAACAGAGATCATCGAGGTACCTCTGCTTGCGTATCCTGGAGCGGCGGGTCAACTCCCTATTGGAGATCATCCACCTCTATTTCCGCTCGTCGACGATCCTCATCTGCTGCTCGTCGGAAGTGGAGGAGGAGCCACCAGTGCCATTGCTGAAGCAGCTGGAGGAGTTGTAGTTTGGGCCGCGACAGTAGGGGTAAACAAACACACTCGCAAACCGACCCACTCGTCCAATCTGACCCAACCCACTCGTATTTATCGCTAAAATTAAGGTTTTGGGTTGGGTGAGAGTTTTCTTTTGTACAACCCGCCTCTTTTGGGTTGGGTTTGGATTTTGGATTATACAACCCGTAGAAGCCGACTCAACCCGTGTTCCAACTATTGGTATGAGTTCGTATCCAAAAAATATTTATGTCGTATATAGCCATACTTATGTGAAAATTAATATATTCCGCCATGGTTTTCTCTCATGGTCTCCCTAATCTAATGCATTCTTCGACTTAAAGTTTAGACATAGATTTAATATAGCTATGATTCACGTAATCCTTTTTCTTGTGTACAATTTTCATAGAATAACATATGATGGATGCATTCGTTTATAATATTTTTAGCCTATTTCAACAAATATCGTGAAAAAAACTAGACATATTTTGAAGTAAATCAAATTTTATTAAAATTTTAAACAACAGTTGTGAATTTTGATACCTTTCCCTTAGTTTATTCGTTTGAAATTTTAATTAGTTATAAAATATTTTTATGGTGTACAATAATTATATATTTTGTGTTGGGTTGGGTTTTTACTTAAAAATATCGTCAACCCGACCCAACCCAATTAGAAACAAAACGTAGGGTTTTAATTTTTATGGGTGGTTTTCGGTATAATATTTTTCAAACCGTAGTGTATGGGCTGAGTGAGCTAAGGCCGAACCACCCGACCCATGTACACCCGTAGGAGGCGGGATGAACTAGCCGTCATGGTGACCTGGAAATTGGTGTTACTGGACATGATTCTGTTGATGGCAGAGGGAAAGCAGGGGGTTCATGGGGGAGGAAATGAGATTGGGGATTCATGGCCTCGGACGAGTTCTCTTTGGTTTTGCAAGAATCGCGAGGTCGCTCTCGGCATGCCGTCTCCTTCAGGTCGGCATCACTGACGTCTTCACCGTCCCCGGAGATTTCAACCTCACTCTCTTCAATCATCTCATTGCCGAGCCTGGACTCACCAACATTGGCTGCTGCATCGTCGGAGGCCATAACTACAACGATTACGGAACCAACAGGATTCTCCACCATACCATTGGCCTCCCTGATTTCACTCAGGAGCTGCGTAGCTTCCTCTTATCAATTCCCCTCCTCCCTCCATTTTGGCCTCCTCGCCTCCACCAGGAGTAGGGTTGGCAAATTACCCACCCATGGGTAATTATACCCAAACCTAAGTAGACTCATTGACAATGGGTTGGGTATGGGTGAAGTGTATATGGATTTGGGGGTTTATAGATGGGTTTGGGTTTGTGGCTTCCATAATCTAAATGGGTATGGGTTGGATATAGATATCTATTTATTTGAGGGTGTTTTAACTACACATGCAAAAATTGGACCTATTTGCAAAACTTGAAAAGTTTAGGTACCAAAATGTAAGACCAAAAAAATTTAGGTACCAAAACGTAATTTTCCATCGATATTTTGAGGACTTATATGCAAAAAAAATTAAATTTAGGTACTAAATATGCATGTCTATTAAGTTTGGGTACCAAAATGTAATTTGTATTTGGGCATGGGTACAAACCTGATATGATCCCAATTGGATCAATCCACAATTCAAAATTACTTGCCAAAGAAGCTATCAAGGTTGGAAAGAAGAAGGGCAGAATTTGGTTAAGTATAGAGATAGTTTCAAGGTACCAACTTTGGAGGTATGGTTCTCTTAATTGGATCAATGAAAATTGGTGTTTAATGGCTTGTTTTAAATATAAACACTTTATCTATAAGTTGGTATGCTTGGTGGATCAAGTGGAAGTCCAGAAGATCACATTCCAGACGTATAAAAATGCTATGAAGAATTCTGAAAACTGCCAAAATCTGGCTAAGGCAGAAAACAGTTTTGAGATGCAAACTTTGAAAGCCTATATCTGGAGTTTGGAGCATGATCTCAGGCTGATTCAAGTTGGAGGTGAAACAGGAAGTTTTATTCTACAAAGGCAAGGAATTGGTTGAATTCGAATCAACCTAGAAGACCATTTTCGAGAGGCTCAAAGATGGCATCAAAGCTGTTTGGTTACTTGGAGCTAAAGGCAGATTTCTTTTCTTGTTTAGTTAGGATTTCATTGTTTTGGTAGTTTTTGATTCCTTTTCGTATTAGACTGTAATTAGGAGTTTATGGGACGTGTGTAACCCTATCTAGGCCTATTTAAGCTTTCTATTTCGTTGTAAGACTAAGACTTTGATTAATCGAAAAACAAACCTTTGGTTTTGTGCAAGTTGCGACTTGTTTTGGGTTTGGTGGATTCCAAACTTGCTGAGCTTGTGTATCGATTGAATAGTCACTTCAATCGTGGTCGAGCAACTACCCTTTTATACCAATCGAGCGTTCCCCAGGTGTGGAATCGTCCTTTTGGTTCCGTTTTATCCAAGTTCGTATTAAGAACGCTTCGTTCTTGATTCGAGCTCAATCGATTCTTCGATTGAGTCGTTAGCTGCGTGACTTTGATAACATACACCCCCCAGGGGCGTATCAAGTGGTATCAGAGCCTGGTTCTACACAAGGGCTAAGGAGGAGAAGAAATCAATCGTTTCGGTACAAGCAGAATTTAATTCCAAAACTGGGCAGCCCCTGTTTATGCTTTGCAGCTGCTGTCCGGAGCTAAATCGCAATGGAAAACGTGGCAGGAGCTAAGAAGTTGGTAGAGGGCAGCACCGAGGCCAAGCAGCCACGAAATTTTAGCAAAGAAACGTCTCCAGCAATCATAATCAAGCATAGAGAGTCTGACGAGCAGCGAGACAATTATTTCACAGCCGATGTGAGATTAACGGCAAAATCGCTTCGTTGGTGATCGATGGAGGGAGTTGCGCGAATTTGATCAGTACGTATGCCGTAGAAAAGCTTGAGTTGAAAACCCAGAAGCACCCTAAACCGTATCATCTCACCTGGCTCAACGAACATGGTGACGTGAAGGTCAACAAACAAGCACAAATCGAGTTCATCATTGGTAAGTATCGAGATACGGTTCTCTGTGACGTAGTTCCAATGCAAAACGTTCATATTCTGTTGGGTAGGCCTTGGCAATTCGACAGAAGGGTGCTACATGATGGTTGGGAGAATTCATATACGTTTAAACATGAGGGCAAGAAGATCAAATTGAAGCCTATGTCCCCCGATGCAGTTTTTGCCGATTTAAAACAGATGGAGGAGAATAGGAACGAGGGAAAAGGTGTGCAAGCTCAGTTGTGGGTTCAAAGAAGTGTTGTGTTCAATTTCATGAGCTTTAGGAAGCCTCAGAAGGAAGGATTCTTGCCGGAATCCCCTGATCAGAACGACCCCTGTTCTGCCCAGAAAACACTCTGTTTTGCGCCAAGAAAACAGAACCGTGAGAAGCCCGACGAACTCGAGGGGTTAAAGGAGGATTCGAGCGACCCCACGAGTGTAGAAATCTTCTTTCATGATGGTGGGATGTGTTCCAATGGTTTAGAAGCGTCAGAATTACCTGGAGTTGCTCGAATCGAGCCATTGAAACGTACCAAGTCGTCCGTCCTTGTCGCGAAACAGGGCAAGAGAGAGGGGAAATGGGGTGGAGCACTGGAAGGAGATCCGAACTCAACCACTGCTTACGAATTGCTCCATGTGTCTTGGAGAAGCTCTCCTAACGATTTTATTGGATATATTTTTCCTAAATTGCAGAACCCAGGTCGAGTTCCTCCGCCTCTGCAAGCGCTCGAACACGGCAAGCAAACAGCTGAATTGGTTGGGGCCGTGGAGGAAGAGTCGAGCGCAACCAATTGCGCCGAAACGTTTCTCAACACACCACGAATGAGTACAAAGGAAGTAATCACCTCGATTCCAGCTGTAACAAAGAACCCGATTCATGCTGAAGTCCCTCTGAAAACAAAAATATACGAAGAGGAAATTGGTGAATTGGTTGTGCAGATTGGCGTTGATTCGAAGCTAATGGTCACTTGGGTTAGGTTTCTGGAGTCCCTAGGATGGTGTAGGAGCAAAGAATTCGACGCGGGCATGTCTGGGTTGAATTTACCCAATTTCAATTTCGCGTCGCCGGAACCTGGGTTTGCTTCGCCGGTTTCTGGAAATTTCGAATTTCCCGACGGCGGGAAACTTTCCAATCCGAAATTGAAACGATGGGGGCTGAATCGAAGGTCGAGAATGGTGGTGATCGAATCCTGGGATCCTGGAAAGTCGATCAGTTTAATAGTGGAGGCTTTGAGAAGAAAGCCCCAATTTATAAGCCCTCGCCGGAAACCTCTGGTTCGCCGGATTCTGCAAATTATTGGGCGGAAACTGGAAATTTTGCGCGCCTAGTTCTGGGTGCTACTGAGCAGCTTGTTTGCGTGGGAAAGGTCCTTTGGAGTCCCACCAATGTACTAGAGCTCGAATCGTGGAAGAAAGCAGCAAGATCAAAGACCAATGAAGCTTCAAAGTGTGAATGGTTTGAAACTAAGACGTGTTCAGGAACACACTTTCAAGACCTGATTTGGAAAGCTTTCATTGTCGAATTTTGTTGTAGGTCAAAACAAGCTTTGAGGGCAAAGCTTTTTGAAGAGGGGGAGCCTGATATGATCCCAATTGGATCAATCCACAATTCAAAATTACTTGCCAAAGAAGCTATCAAGGTTGGAAAGAAGAAGGGCAGAATTTGGTTAAGTATAGAGACAGTTTCAAGGTACCAACTTTGGAGGTATGGTTCTCTTAATTGGATCAATGAAAATTGGTGTTTAATGGCTTGTTTTAAATATAAACACTTTATCTATAAGTTGGTATGCTTGGTGGATCAAGTGGAAGTCCAGAAGATCACATTCCAGACGTATAAAAATGCTATGAAGAATTCTGAAAACTGCCAAAATCTGGCTAAGGCAGAAAACAGTTTTGAGATGCAAACTTTGAAAGCCTATATCTGGAGTTTGGAGCATGATCTCAGGCTGATTCAAGTTGGAGGTGAAACAGGAAGTTTTATTCTACAAAGGCAAGGAATTGGTTGAATTCGAATCAACCTAGAAGACCATTTTCGAGAGGCTCAAAGATGGCATCAAAGCTGTTTGGTTACTTGGAGCTAAAGGCAGATTTCTTTTCTTGTTTAGTTAGGATTTCATTGTTTTGGTAGTTTTTGATTCCTTTTCGTATTAGACTGTAATTAAGAGTTTATGGGATGTGTGTAACCCTAGCTAGGCCTATTTAAGCTTTCTATTTCGTTGTAAAACTAAGACTTTGATTAATCGAAAAACAAACCTTTGGTTTTGTGCAAGTTGCGACTTGTTTTGGGTTTGGTGGATTCCAAACTTGCTGAGCTTGTGTATCGATTGAATAGTCACTTCAATCGTGGTCGAGCAACTACCCTTTTATACCAATCGAGCGTTCCCCAGGTGTGGAATCGTCCTTTTGGTTCCGTTTTATCCAAGTTCGTATTAAGAACGCTTCGTTCTTGATTCGAGCTCAATCGATTCTTCGATTGAGTCGTTAGCTGCGTGACTTTGATAACATACACCCCCCCCCCCCCAGGGGCGTATCAAGTGGTATCAGAGCCTGGTTCTACACAAGGGCTAAGGAGGAGAAGAAATCAATCGTTTCGGTACAAGCAGAATTTAATTCCAAAACAGGGCAGCCCCTGTTTATGCTTTGCAACTGCTGTCCGGAGCTAAATCCATTTGATATAAACCCAACTCAACCCAAAGTAAATGGGTATGGGTACAAACCTATCAAACTCTACCCATATCCATCTATTTGGATTTCAAACCCAACCCAATTGGGTTGGATAGTAAGAAATCCATGGGTATGGGCAAAGTTGTCATCCCTAACCAGGAGCATCGCCGAGCAGTCCTAAGAACGTGCAGTAATACCTCTGCGACTCCCCGATCAAGTGCTCACCACCCTCGTCCCGATCAGTAGAATGCAAGGGTACATGCTACGACGGTGAGAATCTAGTCCGACTCCCCCCCCCCCCCCCCAACAAATCTCGCAGTCTGTGGGATCTATCGACGGGAAATCGTCTAGAAGCTCTATTTTATTTTAGGTTTTTCTTTTAAATAATTGCAAAAATGAGTTGGAATGTTTAAAATAATTAATTTAATTATTTAGTTATTTTTAAATTGCCACATCACTAATTTAACGGTCAATTATGAGAGTTGACTGCCACATCAGCAAAAGTTAACGGAGTTGGACGGAGAGTGATCAAACTCAAATGATTAAACTAATTTTAGTAACCACGAATGAAATTAAATATTTTTAATGATTTAATGACCAAACATGAATATTTTTAATAAATCGAGTGACCAAACTTGCAATTTACCCAAACATATTGGGCATTGCTATTCGTCGCCCTAAAATTTCTTATTCGTCGCCCTAACTAAGATAAATTTACTTTAATACCCTTAGTTAATTTATTTGTTTTTTAAAAACTTAAAAGTTAAATCCCAAAATAAACTCATGTAATAATTAATTTAATATAAATTCTAAGTCTAAGCTCGCCGGCGACGGGTTTTCAACCCGTCCGGCCAAGAAAAGAAAAATTCCTGGGCACGTCGGATCGATGGTGGTCGTCATCTCCTTTCCTTCTTCTCCGCAGGGGTTGGTGGGAGCAACAACGACTCTGAACTCCCCTCTTCCTCCTAGTTGACGGCGAACACGTGGAGCGAATTGACGGTGACAACGGCTGCGGCTCCGACCTCCTTCTTCCTTCTTCGTCCTCCGTCCAACGCCGGGAGAGTTCTGGGCTTCGAATGCACTCTGCACATTGGTGCTTGTTTCTCAGGCAGATCTTGAGAAGGACCATAGTTTTCAGAGAGCCGGGGAATCACCATCTGAGTATTGCATTTGGCATCTAAGGTCCTAGACTAAAAATGAATGTCAAGGGAGGTGGGTTAGGCGGCAGAGGGAGGGATTGTGGGTAGGCGGCGGGAGGGATGTGGGTATGCCGGCGGGAGAGTTTTGGGTAGGCTTGGAGAGAGATTGTTTGTTTCTAGGGTTTATGTTTAAATTGGGGAGAGGGGTGTATGTGTCATTTGGTACGGTTTAGGGCGATAAAAATTTGAATTTTAGGGCGGCGAATAGCAATTCAGAACATATTATGTTGAACTTCCGCTTATTCCGGCCAACTGGCCAACCTTTAATCGAGCTAAAAAAAGAACCCGGTAAAACGCTCTCCGTCATCCGGAGTTCGCTCAAAACCTTTCACACTTTTCCCCGTTCACCACGTCCCTTCAGCCAATGGGACGTAAGTAAAATATTCAACGGAACACGTGGCTCGCATTGATTGAACAGCATTCCACCTCTGCAATTTTGCTAAAAAAAGAAAAAAATTGTCGCCATCCCTCCCCTTCCAAACCCTCCTCCGATCTCCCTTATATTTCCAGTTTTCCTTCTGCTAAGCTATCGCAGCTGAAGACTGAAGTGACTGAGAGACCGAGGGGAAGCAAAGAGAAAAGATGTGGAGCTCTAAATCATTGGCGGTGGCTCTGCTATGGAGCGTGGTGCTATTCGGAACCCTAGCTCTCATCCAGGTAAAAAATCCTCGGCTTCTGACCTTTTGCCCCGATCAATTAACTTCGAACGTTTCAGCTTTGATAACTAAATAGATCTGACATCGTAGATCCCATTGTCTCCCGAATCGATCAATAGCTGTGCAGTATCTAAATGAATCTCGCTTGACTTAATTTTTCTCAGGCGAAGAAATCCGACGAGAATTTGAAGGAGATCACCAATAAAGTTTATTTTGACATAGAGATCAACGGAAAGCCCGCCGGTACGTGTTCTGATCTGAATCTCTTATAATTGTAGTGATGTTGCCCGGTTACAGTGTATATGGGTGTATCTATTCCATGAATTGAAAGATGGTGCCGACTGGATGCTGTGTTTTACTGTTCTCTGGTATTCCGATACTCGCCATCTTTGGTGACTTCGGTTTGGGCGAGACTAAACCGAGACTGAAATTGGTCTGCGGTTTAGTACGATAGACTGTATGATCATTTATGCCATAGTATCTTACCTGTTCATGCTTAATGTAAAGCATTTATGCCATTTGATACTGAACTGAAGACTGTCTTTGATCACTTGCATCAGGCCGAATTGTCATGGGTCTCTTCGGCAAGGCTGTTCCTAAAACTGTAGGTAAGGCTTCACTGGGTAGCCTGTTTTTGTTATTCCCTTCCTCTTTGCGCTTTATTTAGCATGTTGTTGAAGAAAATCTTCTGTTATTTTTGTGTTGCAGAGAATTTCAGAGCTTTGTGCACGGGTAAGCTGTTAATCTTGATTCTCTTTCACCTCTGTTTGCCCCCATGATGAGAATGCTCCTGATCTCGACCATGTGCAGTGTTTCTGCTGGATGTTGTTTCTCACTTCATTATGAAGTGGGAAAAGACCAACATATATGAAATGCTGAATGTCTTTCAAAGCTGACTGTTGTACGATTTGCCATTGCCTTCTTTCATTGTAGGTGAAAAAGGTATCGGGAAGAGTGGGAAGCCTTTGACCTACAAAGGCAGCTCATTCCACAGGATTATTCCTAGTTTCATGATCCAAGGAGGTGACTTTACCCATGGCGATGGAAGAGGTGGAGAATCTATTTACGGGGAGAAGTTTGCTGACGAGAACTTTAAGTTGAAGCACACTGGCCCTGGTTAGATTCACCTTTTTGTTACCTATCAAGTCGGCAAAGCACCTTGCACTCCTTCCTAGCCTCGCCCAATGGTCCTATATTCTTCTTTTTTCACAGGTCTTCTGTCAATGGCGAACGCTGGTAAAGACACCAATGGCTCACAATTCTTCATCACCACTGTCACAACTAGCTGGTAATTTGCACGATTCTCTGAGGCAATGCAGAGATTGATTGCATCCCTTTTTTAACCGAGGTGAAATTCTTCAAATGTTTTGCAGGCTGGATGGCAGGCATGTTGTATTCGGGAAAGTGATATCTGGAATGGATGTGGTGTACAAGATTGAAGCTGAAGGAAGGCAAGATGGTACACCCAAGGCCAAGGTTGTGATTGCAGACAGCGGTGAACTGCCTCTATAAGTGCCTCGGTTTTGCCTTTTGCTGTTCTAGGTGCCCCCACAGTTGTCAGTGCTTTAGACTCTCATAAGCTTGCTCTCAACTCTTCTACACCTGAGGCGTTGTGGGAGATGTAGCCTGAACCTTTGATAATCCTTTTGTAGTGCTGTCGTTCATGCTAGATGTTCGCAGAACAGAACAATCCTTCATCATATGCAAGTTGAATGTTCTTAGTCCAAGGTTTAAAGATGATTTGGGTTTGGCTTTATTAGTGACAACTTTGTATCTGTGCTTCCTCGAGAGTTTGAGATCAGAAGTTCTGCTAAATGACATCTTGTCAAAATCTCTTCCGGAAGCAACAAACTTAAATAACAACTAGAAAGCAGTGAGCAAACTAGTGAAAAAGAAAATGCGACCGACAGAACGACTACACCAACGACATTCTAACACAATCTCTAAAGGTTCAATAACTAGTCTGTCATCTTCTACAATTGAAGTATGTTCCCAAATCATCCCCCAATGAACGGGAAAGCATAGCATTCAGCCCCAGAAAGATGCAATTCAATCAGTCTGAAGCAAAAGACACAGGAAGGGATTATCAAGAACGCAGCAAAATCGAACGAAACAGAGTAAGCATTCGGATGGTGGTAGGATATGGCGGTCTTCCGCCACTGGCTAATCACATCATCTTTACTAGAGAGCATAGAACAGACATAACAACAAACAGCTGATGAGCAAAACCAGATTATTCTGACGACGCTTACCCAAGGGAAACATTCCACGAGACGGACCGATTTGGACTGAAATCAAATTTTCACTTTGCTACTTGACGCAACGACAGCAAAAGAGCGCATAAGGTGATGAAATCGGATTTCCATGGCGGATTATTCATTGCCGTGATCGCCTGCTTGGCGCTTGCTGTTAGAAACCGAACAGAAAAATTAGGGTTACCGATCTGGCTGAGTCGCGGACTAGGTCGCTCTCTTTAAGACGTTCGCGGCACTGCCTCGTATTGCGCACAGCAGACTATCAGCCGGTCGCCTCCAGGATAAAACATCCATTCTAGTTTTCTTGCTCATCGATTTTGTGCGAAAAACCGGAGCTCTATGAATTCACTCTCTCTCTCGTGTTTCTGCTCTTCTGAGGTGTGTTAAGAGGGTCTGGGGCGTCTCCTATTTATAGGAGCAGAAAACCCAGAATATTCCCTCTTTCTTTGGGAATAAGTCACATTTTAATTAGGGAGATAATTACTTCCATAATTAAAATATAATCTATTAAGATAATTATTCCTAATTATCTCCATAATATTCCTTTTATTAATTATCCATCTTATTTATGTATTATGGGAAAATACTGGATAATTAATTAGGAATTTCATATATAGCTTTTCAAGGCTATTCATCCCAACAATCCCCCACTTGAATAGTTTTGAAACTATCTCTGAGCATCAACCGTTCCATAAGATCGGGCATAAGCTAAGGTATCGCGAAGATTTGAACCTTAGCGTAGTGGTTACACTTCCGATTTCGTAAGGGTGACTCGTAGTCTTGAACCCTATCTCAGACAATGTAGCACACCGGATCTTTTCATTGAGTGATATTCTCTCATAGGCCGTGCGTTAATGGCCATGCACGTTATCCCGGTTTAGTGAACGCTCTAGCAACTTTGTGCCTCCAAAGTTCCATAGGGAGCGGCCCCACTCCCACATTCACATAGGTGAGTCTATCAGAAGTACCCCCAAAGTAAAGTACTTCACTCCACATAGAGTATAGATCTCATTAAGAGTTTTAACTCAACCTCCAAGGCTTTGGGATTCATGCTTCACTATGCATGAACTTTTCTCAATATTACTCATGACTTGTTATTACCCATTGAACCCGTTTCTTGGGATCTCCAGTCTATCGGGTCGGGTTACCATCACTTGTAATCCATGGTTCGGTAGGCATAAGTCTCATACCTTCGTGGTATTTTGGACTTTTCTCTCTAGATAATCCTTTCGTCAAAGGATCAACTAGATTCTGTTAGGATCTTATATGATCCACCCTCATTGCTCCTATCATTAGGAGTTCTCTTACAGTACTGTGCTTACGACGAATTTGTCGTCTCTTTTCATTCTAGAACCGGTTCCCTTCTATTGCAATAGCTGCGGTGCTATCACAATTCATCAACTACCGGAGGGATCGGTCTTTCCCATAAGGGAATCTCTAGTAGTGACCCTCTCAATCAACTTTTCTCTTTACTAGCCATTGCTAGCTCTATCATTTCTGATTTCTTAGTTGATTGAGCCAGGATCGTTTACTTCTTAGACTTCCAAGACATAGCTTCTCTATCGATGTTTAAAACACAGCCTCTTGTTGTCTTGAAGTCCTCTATAGGGTATTCTAATCCGCATCACTATACCCTACCAATACAGCAAAACCATTGATAACAAATACCAAGGTTTTTCTGTTCTTTTAAGGTGTCTCATGACCCCTTTCAATAGCATTTCAATGCTTCATACTAGGACAATCAGTAAGCCTGCCAAGTACCCCCACTATGTCGGGTCTCATGTTTATCAGCTGCCTCTCGCATACTGTCGATGCTAGTATGTTCTTACTTTCTTACACCGTCTTTGGTGCTCTTAAAAATTACACTAGCACCATCAAACATTTATGCAGGTGTAGAACTCGTATTTCCTCTAGATCTAACTGTGTAGTTAAACTGACCTAGATGAAATCTCTTTCATTGTCCTAGTAATCTGGATCTCCGAGCATAACACTTGCTTCATCCAGATCTTTTTACCTTCATAATTCTCAAACAACATGGTTTTTCATAATATTGACATCACGAGTCTTTGTACCAAAGACCGAAGTGTCATTCATAATGCAAGTGTCATTCTCAAAGTTGTACTAAATGCACTTGTCACTTTCACTTTTAAAACCATGAGAGAGAACCAGTTTATTCATGCCATTGTCTTAGAGTCTATTTCAAATCTTACAATGATTTGTCTAACTATAGACTCCCTAAGCATGTTCAAGAATAACAACCCTATAGGTTGTCCCATGTAGATTTTCCTATCTAAATCACCATTCACAGAAACATGTTTAACAATCCATCTGACGCACAACACTAGCAATCAGAACATACATGGATGTTATTCTACATATGGTGAATAGATAACAAAATGATTTACAAAAATTTTCCCTTTCGCTTAAAGCCTTAGCTATTAGGCGATCCTTATACTCATAAATTAAACCAATAGGTTTCACTTTTCTTTTAAGAATCCATTTATTACCCATGACTTCATTGCCAAGAGGTAATTCTCAAAGATGTCAAATCTTGTTCGATTCTATCGATATATTACCCAAGGCTTTTCAACCAAGAGGTAACTCTACAAGATTTTAAGTCTTATTAGACTCCAATAATTCCATTTCGTTAATAATGGATTCTCCTACAATTCTGCATCTTTATGGAAGTTCGAACTTTAGCAGACTTGTAGGATCTTTCTTTCTTAGGGTGTAAATAACAAATTCATAACCAAAAACCTTAAGAGATTTCAGGTTCATTTGCTTCTTCTGAGTTTAAACTCAGATTTATTACCCCCACTAGTTCCATTATTTCTAATAGTAGGCAGGACACTACCCCCACTATTTCTTGATTTAAAAAGGAAGTTTCTTGGCATTAATGGATTTCACAACAACATGAGTATTTCGTTTCATAGGAACTATGTGTTTTTATTGTTAACAACATAAAACACACTCATATGCTCTTCTAGTTATCATGTTACACTGATTCTCTAACGCTACCACATGCATGCCACATATCGAATAATCAGTGCAATCATAATGCAACTAGGCATTTCAAACTATTTCAAATAACTAGTTAGACAATCAATCAGAGCACTCTAAAGAGCAATTAATTGTTTATTGTCTTTTCTATCAAGTTTACCCACATAAATCAGATCTATTTATTCTGATTCTCTAATCACATATTTATGGGTCATTTAGCTTGGATATAGAAAATTCATATTTTTCTCAAGCATCCAATAATAATATGGGAATGAGATAAAAGATATTCTAATTCTTCACACAGACACACTTGGAAGAATTTATCTTATCTACTTAACCATTCCTTACATCTAGGATAGTTAATGACTTTCTAGAGGCAGGGTTCTCTTCCACTTTTCCAGAACCATCAACAATAGTGATGAGGGTCTTGCCCAACAACACTTTCTCCTTCAATACGCATCAATGTATGATTGAGCTTAGCTCGTTTATCACACATATCTTGAAGCGGTCCTATCCAACAACCATTCTCCAGAGTTACCATTAAGGCTAACCTCTGTCATCACCTCAGTGAATATTATTACCAAATCCTCTTCTTTAGTCAAGTTAACACTAGGTTAAACTTGTTCTTACACTTTCGTGTCTTATGACCTAGTTTCTCACGAATTTAACAGAGAAACATAACGTCATTCTTAGACGATTGGGTGACAATCTTATGGTTACCACAAAGGGTACCATTCTAATTGGTGTGGATCTGGTTCAGTTTGCTGCTCTCATTCTTGAAACTTTACTGTTTCACAGCAACCTAAGTGGTTCGGGTAGTACTGATAGTAGTACTTCTTATAATATCGTTATTATGGGCAATAAACCCATTCTATTCCCATATATTCTTCACATATATGCATGCATTTAGACAAAATCATTCTATTTCACAAATGTACATAAAATTGTACTCAAATCATCAAACATGACATCTCAATGTACCATTATCATGCATCAGTTCTAGTATTCCTGTCTAGCATTCACACGGATTCTCAATTCCATGCTTATATCCATATGACATAGATTATAATTTGTCATTTATTAATAACTCAAGTGAAAAGTTAGGAATACCTCTTTTCAAGAAGTCTTTGCTTTCTCAACTAACCACAAATACCTGGTACAGTGGTACATACAGCTTCCATGCATACGAAATGGGCCTTGATTTGTCGCAATAGCCCAAAGTCGTTCACAAACAACCCAAACCTGGGGCATCTTTAAATTATGGATTGCTTTGTTCCACTTCCATTTATTCCACCGGCCAGTAGTAACAACATCCTTAGCCTCCCAGCCCATAGCATTAATTTGACCAACGAATCAACAAGGTCATCGATAGAATAATGGCCTGGTAGGAAGATCCGAATTGTGCCTCTCGGTGGATATGTAATCACCCAGGGTATTAGATTCCACCCTTTTCCTGTTCGAGAACAAAAACATAGTGAAATAGTCTTAGGGTTTGAGAACAGAAGCTGTTAGCTTCTTTCACAGCCGCCTTCTATTCCGTCCAATGCCACTTCTTTCGTCCCCCAAAGCTTTGTTTCAATTCGTTCTATTCGAAACTTTGCCCTTCGTCTTGGACATAGTTTCCTTCCACAATGCATGTGATTAATCCGGAACTTCTTTCTCTTTGCTCGAATCAGCTTCAAGGAAAACAAGTTGTAAGGTAAGCAGGTGCAACAATAAAAGCAGCGGTATACCACTTGACATGTACTTTTCCCGCGGCACACCATTAGCCTCAAAAAATTGAGGGCATAAAGTAAATCTCGAGCCTTGTGGAAAAAACAATCAATTCCAATTTGCACAGGAATGATTAATGGACAATTGAATCAGGGCACAAAAACACTCGCGAAATTATATTGAGAAGGGCACAGAATCACTCCCTTCTTTTCTCTCCTCCAATCACAAATGCAACCCGCCACTTGTCCAGCGTAACTCATCCATGGAGTCCAACAAGCTTCATCACGTGCTGCTTCTTCCACTGTGGAATTAGGAAGGAATTTTCATCTAGGCTTACGATTCATTTGCATGGACACGAATTAATTAGATCACAAGCAAAACCCTAAGATAGAAATTGAGTGGCTGCAATTAATCCAAGCTTTGCTCCTTCTCCGTATAAGTATCCTGACCTTTCTCTCTATGGTGCTAAAGTATCCATTACTCATACGGAAGTATTAGTTGAAACCGAATCAAAAGCGGACAATTAACAAACAAAAGGAATTCATAATCGTCCACTTAGCTCTCAAAAGCAGTCGGTTCCACCGAAAGGGGCAGACGGAAGTAATAGATCCGATGAATAGAGCGACCATGAACGCCATAATCGGTCGAGATCAAATCGATATCATGTTCAGTATATACGACAGCAACCAAACGTCTTAAAATTGTTAGAAACCGAACAGAAAAATTAGGGTTACCGATCTGGCTGAGTCGCGGACTAGGTCGCTCTCTTTAAGACGTTCGCGGCACTGCCTCGTATTGCGCACAGCAGACTATCAGCCGGTCGCCTCCAGGATAAAACAGCCATTCTAGTTTTCTTGCTCATCGATTTTGTGCGAAAAACCGGAGCTCTATGAATTCACTCTCTCTCTCGTGTTTCTGCTCTTCTGAGGTGTGTTAAGAGGGTCTGGGGCGTCTCCTATTTATAGGAGCAGAAAACCCAGAATATTCCCTCTTTCTTTGGGAATAAGTCACATTTTAATTAGGGAGATAATTACTCCCATAATTAAAATATAATCTATTAAGATAATTATTCCTAATTATCTCCATAATATTCCTTTTATTAATTATCCATCTTATTTATGTATTATGGGAAAATACTGGATAATTAATTAGGAATTTCATATATAGCTTTTCAAGGCTATTCATCCCAACACTTGCTTCGGCGGCGTTCCTGGTGAAATTGACAGAAAGATCGGAGTAAATGGACATGACCTTGGAGATGTTGCCGTTGATCTCGCATATCAGGGAGACGTTCTTGGTGAGATTCTCCGGGATCTTGGACTGGTTGTTTGCGTTCACCTGCTCTATCAGGCCCCGATTCTGGTCCAAAACGCACTGCGCCTGCCTAAAGCTCTTGCTCAGCGCGTCCCAGGCCTCCTTGTCATACTCCTCGCCTTCCGAGCCACCGCCATTCGAGTTCCTGATCAGCCGGTCCTCCTTGCCTCCGCCTCTGTGACTCCATGATTCCCCGGCGGGAGAACCGCTGGCTGTGATGCCGGAGCGAGCTTTGGTGTCCTCCATGCTTGACGCCTCCGCCAGAGGATTCCGATTCATTCCCCGTCACTCATAAATAGCCGATTGAAAAGGAAAATTTTCCGAATCGCACCTTTTTTCGCGACGGCGAGCTGACCGCGTCGTGTCCCGAAGTATATCTTCTGGTGATCTGATCAGAGGCAGCAATAAGAAAAATGGTGGAGCTGGAGTGGAGAGGACAATGGCGGTTGATTGTCTTCTAAGAGATTCTAAGAGAGTCAAGCCGGCCAGAGTGGGATGGGATTAATAAGGATTAGCACCGTGATAACTAGCAAAAATCACTACGGATTATTATAAAATCAATACAACATCTAAGCTAAATCACTACTAATTCAAACTAGTAGTAGTTTTCCCCTTGGTTAGGACGGTGCTAACTATTGTACAATTAGCACCGTAGCCGTTCCCGGCCAGAGTGCCACAAGTTGAATCTGGTTGAACTGATATCCGTCATAAAACCGGCATGACACCACCGGTATGACCGTCATGATCGGTAGACGAATCTCTAAGTAAAATGACCTTATTTTAGTAAATTTAATTGATAAAAATAAATTTATTATTAATTTTATGAGTATAAAAGTTAAATATTGATGTTATTTGTTGGATTCAAGTATAAATGTGTAAGTATTGACGTTAAATGTCATATTTAAATATGAGTATTTATAATTTTATTTGTAATATTGACTGGTATGAACCGACACAAATCGATATGTGCCACTGATCGAACCATTCCACTTGCTAAACCGGCACACTAGTATAAACCGGTTTAACAACCTTCACAAGTGTGATTGGAAGGACTTCTTGCATGGATGCATTTGATTGGTCTGTCGCAAAGATAAAAAATGATGACTTGTAAAAAAGTGCAAATTGGTTGCTGCATATTTTAGGAGTAGAGTTGACTGGCATAAAAAGATATTTTTCATGGCTTAAACTAATAATAATTATTATTAATAATAAGTATCTCCCGCAGACTAACAATGAATTTTTCTATTAACATTACGTTTAAAGAGAAAGGAGTTAATTGGTGATTTTTTATAGGAGTTAATTGGTAGAACGATGGTGATTTTTCATGGCCCTTGCATCGGTAGCAATCCTTTTGGTTGACTACCGCTCTTTCATTTTCACCGCATTGTAACACCCTATCTATTACGTACTATCTATGAAAAAAGAGAGGATATTCTTGCCTAATATAAATAGGCTACGATAACATTTCATAAATGTATTTGCTAAAAGCAAGAAATCATCGTAATTTCAATAATAATATTGAATATCTAAAAAAAGACTAACAATCATGACCATAATCGCGAATGTCTATAGCTTAGATGCATAACCGAATCAAAGAAGCTTGTGGTATTTCCTCATAAAGATTCATTCATATGTAATGGTAATGTAGCATGCATATCTCAATTAAAAGTTGAATACATAAAGTGAGAATATGTTTCATCAACTTTCTATTTTTTTTTTAATATAAAAAAAAACTTTCTATTTTTTTAGAAACCAACTCCGGAAGCCCTAATTGAAAAGGGTGTTCCGGTGCTTCCTAGAGGCCCAGTTTGTTAGGTTGAGTTAGAAACTCTTGAGCACTTGTTTTTGTATTGCCCAGTGGCGCGAATCCTTTGGAATTACGCAGGACTGGAGTATCCAGGGCAAGGGTTACCTCGCCATACTTTCCCCCTCTTTTTGAAGAAGATGATGGTGTTGATCCATCAGCCTTCTCTGTTCATGGCGGTGGTTGCAATCCTTTGGAGGATATGGCGGTTTCAAAACTGGGTTATCTTTGAAGGCAAGCAGTTAGGGATACCAGCCTTGATGCATCAATTTCACCAGCGATATGATGAGTGGGTCAGTTTGCCGGTGGATCGATTGCCTCAGCCATCCATCCCGTTAATAAACCATTTCGCCCCTGAGGAGGCGAATATGTTGGTTTGTATGTGGGATGGTGCTACAAGGAGTGGGTCGCATTCCGCTGGTGGGATGGTGATTATGAGCCCAGCCAGGAATGTCCTAATGGCTAGTGGGATTCAGATTTCGTTGATTGATGACCCTATGGTGGTCGAATTACTTGTGCTCCGGGTGGCAATCGTATGATGTCTGGGCCACGGAATCACAGTAGTAAGGTTTGAAGGCGATGCAAAGGTGGTTATTGAGAAGTTTATTCGGGCGGACACTAGTGATAATAAGGTGGGGGCTGTTCTTGAAGAAGTTGTGCACTATTTTACCCTCCATTCTGGATTTAGTATTCGGTTTGTAGGTCGGCGTAGCAATAGGGTAGCCCATGTGGTAGTACCTGACTACAAGTCGTTATTTTGATTTCCAAGTCTGGCTAAATTCTAGGATGTAATTGCCTTTTCTTTTGAATTAATATACGCACATGGGTCATAAAAAAAATATTTTAAAAAAAATTCAACAAATCCATCAAGTGAAATCTTGCATATTTGTTTTTGCTAAACCATTATCACTATAATAATCATGATATAATTTTCTTAATAATAGTTTTTCCCACTCTATTCTCTTTGTATGATTTTTATTGAGACAAAAAATAGAAGTGTATTGCAAGAGTGATGTGCTTTTTCTGATTCACGGAGACACATAATTATAGAAGTGTATTGCCACTTGAAAGAGTTACAGGTTCATCAGCGTGGATCTATCTGCGAGGTTCAATAACCAAATCATGCACTGATCAGTGTCACCTACGAGTGCACAATAGTCCTGAACATCAGAATCTGTATGCAGCTTCATCATTTATATGCAGTCAGGGTATCTTATTTCTACTGTGCAATCACCAGCTGAGCGAACCAAACTGCGAAACACACTCGTTCTTGTAGTTGCAGCCTGCATACAGATTCTACCCTACATCCAACTCCCTAGTCAGTGGTAACAAGACAACAACGACAACAGCAACTAGACAATCAGAGAAAAGCCCGATTGCAGGCTTCTGCCTGAATTCTAGCAATGGAAAGTTCAGTTAATCCGGGTCGCTATCTGAATCCACAAAACTATACTCTTTGCATTCCTCAATCTTGATTAGCAGAGTGACCTGGTTCTCTTCGCTCCACTCCAATTGTTCACTTCCAAATGTTTTAGCACCTGCAGATAAAGATGAAGAATTTCAGTATGACAGATGACACCACAAATCCGCAATTTCCATATTATCTCAAGAGGCATTGATGCAGAAGAAGTTGAGGAAAAATAGATACCATGAGGTCAATCTTCCCAAGTCACAGCATTGGCAATAGAATTTCACCAACTCATTGTATTAACAAATGTAATCATGGGTGTTTGTTGATCTATGGCAAGTCAACTTGATGGTTAACAACTTTGCTACTGCTCTTGTCACTTCTGGTTTTCAAGAACAATGGAATGAACTCCGCAACATCTCAAGAACATCACCAGTTAATAGGAATCAAATCGTCCGTGTTTCCAAACACAGACCAAAACATGAAGAAGAAAAAATCAGTGAAGAGAAACAAATGATGCTGCAGCTCTAGGCATGACCCCAGGTATGTACTAGATATTGTGACATGAATTCAGGGTTCAAAGGCTTATCGAACATCATTGAATCTACAACCACACAAGGGATTTGGGAGACTCTGGACTTGTGGAAACCCTTCCGCAGCCTGTTCGTCAAGAAAGGGCAGGCATTAATTTCCAGGAAACCAAGTGTGTCTGGTAGGCCTGTCTTTGGCAAGGACTCGAGTTTAGGACAGTTCCAGATCCACATATTCTCGAGAGCTTTTAGATTTTTTAAGCCCATGGAGATTCGTTTCAGGTTGTTCAAACTATGCATCCAAAGCATGGTCAGGGAAGAAGGAAGCAGCAAACCATCCTCGTCTGGGAAAGTAACCATGTTTGTACTGGGACTTGTGCCTTCAAGCTTGAGTCTTTTGAGAGATGTAAGCCTGTGGAGTCCCCAACTGGATATGGGCTGTGAAAGATTTTTGCAGTTCCTAACCCTTAGAGTAGTCAAGTTTGGAGGCAACCCACCTCCTGGAAAGGACACCACCCTGGCACAATCATGAATTTCAAAATATTGGATGGATGTCAAGTTCTGCATCTGGTCGGGTAAACAACTCAGATTCTGGCAACCTGAGATTATTAAATATGTAAGAAAAGGTGCCGACAACCCTCCTTCTGGGAACCTCTGTAGCCGAGGACATTCTGCTATTCCCAAGAAAGTGAGATGGCCAAACTGGTTGTCCAGTGAATCTAGCGACTGTGATGTGAAGTGACTGCTGTAAATGGTCTTCAGAGAAACAGGTAGCTCACCAGTTTCAGAGGCCTTCAGAGACGGGCAGTTTCTTATGTGCAAAATTTTCAAATGTGGCATCTTCATTCTGTCATTGCCATAATGAAAAAGTCCTTCAGGCACAGACTCTAGTGACTTACAATCTCTAATCCATAAACATTCGATGCTGACTGGCAAACCAGTAGCAGGAAACCCCTTGAGATTAGGACAACCATCGACATTCAAAGTCCTGAGAGTGGTGAGGCTGCTTAATCCATCTGGTAACTTCTTCAGGTTGTGACATTGTTCTAACCTCAATACTTTTACACTGCAAGGTAAAAGGCCTTCATCTCTTTCTACCAATGAAAATAACATTCCACAATGCTTGATCTTAACATACTTCAGATATTGAAGTTTGTCAAAACCAGTCCCATCATGTATCAAGTATATCATGTCATTGCACGAGTTGATCTCCAGCACTTCGAGTGCCACCATTTTTCGCATTAGGGATTCTTGGAGACTCTTGAGGCCTGAAATTCTACTAATCCGCAAGACTTTGAGGTAGTTGAGATCAGGGGCACTTTCAAGCAGCATAGCTTGACATTCTTCAACAATCAATTCATGAAGAGATGGAAGGAATTGAGGCAAATTATTCAGCAATGGGCACTGACACACCTTGAGTTTCCAAAGGGAAGGGAGACATTTAGGTAACTTCCCAGCCAACTTTGGACAATTTATTATTGAAAGCTGTGACAAGGAAGGAAATCCCCTAGCAGCTTCTTCAGGGAGACCATCAAGCCATGACCAATGCCTCCATTCTAACATATTCTCAATATGTAGGATTCTCAACGAGGGAAAAGCCATTCCTGAAGCAGAAATATCACCATAAAGCTCACAACCAACTTCTCTAACTCCGTTCATTCCTTTTATGCTCAATATGGCAAGTGAAGGTAGCTGACCTATTGGTGGTAGCGATCCAATTTTAAGGCAATCAAGGATCTCTAACTCCACTATATTGCTGAATGTGGGATCACTCATCCACAATGGGAATTTCAAACCAGCATAAAATTTGACAGAAAGTTTCTGCAGATTCTGATGGGGTTTTAGTGAGTTAATAACCAGCAACTCATGGTTTTCATCTCGCTGACCATGGAAACTGTCAACCCACTCCAATGTCAAATTTTCAAGGAACTGCTTCTCCTTCAGATTGGCAATCTCAGCACCTCGAGCATCAACCACATTATGCAATCCTTTTATGCAAAGTTGCCCCTCAAGCTGAGAAAATTTTGCCAACTCAATTATTCCAAGGCCATTTCCCGTCCCTACTATAAACTTTGGCAAGATATGAAGTTTTGACAAGTTACCAATTTTAAGTGGCATCTCCTGCAAGCTATCAGTACCCATAATGTCGAGATACTCCAGATTAACTAGATTGCTGATGCCAGAGGGTAGGGCGACAAGTTTCAAGCACCAAGAAACTATCAGTGTCTGCAAGTTGATTAGCTCACTCACTGATTCAGGTAGTTTCACAATTTCAGAGTACGCTAGGTTGAGATACCTTAAATGCTTTAGGGCACCAATAGACTCAGGCAGGTTCATTAAACTGTAACCAGCTAGTGAAAGGACCCGCAAGCATTTTAGTTTTAGCACCAAATCATGTATGACTCTAAAAGTCAACTGATGATATGGTGATGGAAAAATTGGCAATGACAAGAATGTTCTCAAATTCTTCATTTGATACAAGACCTCAAACCTCTGTGAGATGTCACAAAGATGACGGGTGAATGAGGAATGGCGAACATTTGCATATGATTTCACACAACCGGTGCTGTCATCCAAATTGAAGCACAAGTCCCCACTGACAGAATGAGCTAGATCACTTATCAGGTCGTGCATAGCGTACTTGGACCTGCTGCTATTAGACACTTGAAAGAATGATCGTGACAGTAACTCATCAAAGTACTGATAACCCAAGTTTTGTGCGGGCTTTACTATCATTCCATTTGGATGATGTAGAAATCCTTCTGCCATCCATAGTAAAACTAGTTCTTTCTTGTCAAATTCATGGTCCTTTGGGAAAACTGCACAATATGCAAAGCATCTCTTGAGCTGGGGAGGCAAGTGCTGGTAGCTCAACCACAATGCGGGAAGAATTCCATTTTTCTTCTCTGGTAAATTCCATATCTTGCTGTCTAACACAACTTGCCACTCGGTAAGATTTAGCCTACCCCGCAGGAGCCCACCAAGGGCCTTAGCTGCTAAAGGCAATCCCCCACACTTGTTGACAATTTGTTTGCCGATTTCCATTAGTTCTGTGTGTGCTTCTAGTTTCTTCTCCCCCAAAGCATGTTGTGCAAATACAGAAAAGCAATCATCATAAACCAATTCCCCTACACAATAAGCTGGGGCAGTACCAACCATGGCTGAGACACTCTCATTTCGAGTGGTGACCATGATTCTACTCCCTGATTCTCCTCCTTCAAAAGCACCAAGAAAGAGAGTCCAATTATCATAGCTCTCGTTCCAAACGTCATCCAACACAATCAAAAAATTCTTCCCAGACAACTTCTCCTTCAAGGCCAGCTGAAGTGAATTCAAGTCCTCCCCGTCACAGTTTGTCAACTGCAGAATTTGCTTTGTGATCTTGAAAACATCAAAATCTTCACCAACTGAAACCCAAGTCCTTAGATCAAATTCCAATCTCGCATCGTTAAAGACGAGTTGAGCAAGAGTTGTCTTACCAATCCCACCCATTCCAAGTATGGGAATGACACAAATTTCAGAATCATAAGTATTCGGTCCATCACCCATCAACATCTCAACTAAAGCATCTTTATCTTTCTCACGCCCGTAAACCTTTGCTTCATTCACTAAGCAAGTTGTGGGAGGTCTATCCCACATAAGATCTTGGCTCTTCCAATTCCCTCCACGCCCTTCCCTAAGATCAAGCTCGTCTTTCTGCACCGTGATCTCTTGCAGCCTCTCAGTAATTCTCTTCATTTTGGAAACCATTTTCGCATTCACTTTAGCGCCACGCAAGTTCACAGTGTCAGCAAGGCACAACGGGACATCACCTATGAACTTACAAATGGGATTCTTGGCCGCAGGTTCGGCCCGCATCTTGCGCCTCCTAACCTCGGTTGAGAATTCGTCGAGAACGTCCTCCAGATCATAAGCCAAATCCCGAAGCTCCCGAACCCAGATCTTCACGAGTCGATTTGACACCTGTTTCTCCTCTGCATCATCAAGCACGGCATGAATCTTAACCATCATGGCTTCCCATTTCTTGAATCGCACCACGACCTTGCTCCTGCTCGCGTAGTACTTGAGCAAGTCAGGGGAACCCAATTTGTCGAAAAGGGCCTGGAACGAAGCTGAGAGAACCGCACCGCCGATGGAAGTGACGGCCTCCATAATCCCGCCACTGAAGCTAAAGCGCGAGTTTCAAAATTAAAAGATCAGAACTTGGACCGAGCAACTAGAACAGGAAATAGAAAGAAAAAAGAGTTATGCAAGAAGCAAAACGCTTAGGAGTTGGGGTTCCTGGTAAGCTACTGATGAGGGTTTCAATTTCATTTTCCTACCACAATCCTCGCCCTCATTAATAGTTGACTTTTTTTAGGACAAAGATCAGTAGTTGACTTGACTCGAAGCTCTGCATCATCGAGTTAATGCCTCAATGACGATTTTGGTTGTCACACTCTGATGGTACTTTCCATACTAAGTACCAAGCCTACTAAGGATGGTTTGGAATTGGATGAGTAATTGAAAGAGTCAATGCGGCTTTAAGTGCTTCCTTTTGCGTGACCGGTCTCATAGGCATTTGAATCGTCATCTCCTTCATCCTCAATTAAACTCCCAATGACATCAGTCACAATTTCTTATAACGTTTGCGCCGCAATACATTCATCATTTTCACCTGGATACTCAAACATAAGCAAAACCTCTTTAAATTATTAATTATTAATATATTATAAATTAATAATTTTCACGGTTCCGAAGCATACAAAAAAATCTCATAAAACATGTCACAAGTTCCCAAACGCATATCGGGACCATAAATACATGGGACTACATCAGAACTGTCAAGGAAGGCATACCAAAAAAAAAAAACAAACACCAAACGAGAACTTTCAAGAAGCAAACCATAAATGTTATATAAGCTAACAAGCAATCAATAATTTTATAATGATGAGATAAAAATTTTATACCAGTAAAATAAATTTTATTTACAAGTAAGTTGTTGGTTTTTTTACATGGAGAAGTGGAGGGGCGGAAGATGGGATGCGGGACCAAAAATCACGAAAAAGAGGTGTTAAATAACTACTATGTACACTAATTATCATAATATCCCAAATAATAATTATGTTATCGTAATGCTGCAGGCGTTAGATAACTACTATGTATACTAATTTATCATAATCTCCCTAATAATTATGTTGTCGTAATGCTAAAACTAATGGTGTTAGCCTTATACGGTCGCTACGTAGCTGTCAATGTTGTATTCAGATGTCTAGAGTTCCAAACTGATGGACAACTTGTGAACTTGGACATGAAGAGAATACAACTCGAGAAAAAAGACATCTCGAATTGCAGATGCCGAATTCTGAAAAGCAATTGGCTTAACTCATAGCCTCTATCAACACAGTTAAATAAGCCAAATCAGGTTCGGCCTGATCCTGGTTGGAGTCTGTCACTAAACCATATCGGCCGGCGATCAGACATGGATACCATAGTCCAACGGCATTGGCGTCCGTGCTAATCCCATCTGGACATCAGTATCAGTATCTGTAGTTTCACCATCTATGTGCCGTCGCCTGTCAAGTATCTCATTTCCACTATACAATAACCAGCTGAGCAAACCAAGCATCGAAACACGCTCATGCTTGCAGTTGCAGCCTGCAAAAAATCTGCCACATGATACTTAAGAAAATGACATCCAGAATGAGAAAGCCATACACTGGAAAACTCCACACTATCACAACAAATAGAAACATTAAGACGTTAACTTAAGATGTCGTTGTCGATGTCAATGGCAATGCCGTGCAACAGCACACATCAATTCACCAAGAACATGACTGATACAAGGGCATGAACAACAACTGGGGTAGATACAGACACTCATTCAGTTCCACCTATACTCAGCTCTTTCTAGCTCTAGGTACAGTCGGTCCCTAAACCACTTTGAAGTGAGACTTCAAGTATTACCTATCTGCTGGAAATAAACATGAGCTTCTATCTTAACAATAATTAAATATGCACATAATTTGAGACCTTTGTCCCCTCCTCCCTCCTTGGTACGATATACCCTACAGGCAGCCAACTCCCTAGTCAGTGGTCACATGAGAACAACAAATAGACAATCAGAGAAAAGCCCTATTATAGGCTTCTGCCTGAACTCTAGCAATTGAAAGTTCAGTTACTCCGGGTCACTATCTGTGTCCATAAAGCTATACTCTTTGCATCCGTCAATCTTAATTAGCAGAGTGCCCCGGTTCTCTTCGCTCCACTCCAATTGTTCACTTTCCAAAAGTTTTACCACCTGCAGGTAAAGATGAAGACATTCAGTACGACAGGTGACACAAATTCGCAATTTTCCATAATATCAATAGACACATTGACGCAGAAGTTGAGACAAAATAGGTAACCGTGGGATCAATCTTCCCAGGTCACAGCATTGGCAATAGACTTTCACTACCTCATTGAATTCAAAATGTAACCACAGGGAAATCTATCGATTTATGGGCAAGTGAAACTTGATGGTTAACAACTTGGCTATTGTTGTTGCTGCTACCTCAAGCCATGTCAAGGTTGTATATATGTGAAACATAGGCACGTGAGATGTCCAAATTTTACTATATCAGGACAAAAGTTGCCAAACTAACTCTCAATGCAGCAGTTATTCCACAGTTTCTGAGGGTGCATACAAGAGAAAATGACAACACCACATACCGATTGTTTCAGCTTAGACTTTCCCAGACCATGACTCCCGCACCCTGTAATTACTCGGAGGACCTGAATTGCTGAGACAAAAAGGTGACCTACAAATCAGTTCAAATCGAAAGGAAATATCACACGCAGTCACAAGTCTGACACTTACAGTTCACGTAAGTTCCGAATAGAAGGTGAAGTTTCAAAACCTTCATAGCTGGCTTGACATGTTGACCATGCAAATCAATGGTTACCACATTTTTTATCTCCTTGTTCCTATGATGTACCAATAGCATATCAGTTCACGTACAGTAAAGAAAGAATTATTAAGGTTGCTCAGAATTCTGTCATGTGCTAACCTAGCCTTAAAGATGTCCATGCTAGCCTTCTTATCAGCTTCTTGAGCAAATTTAGTTTCTGCTCTCACCTACAGAAGAACGGCAAAAAAGGTCAACCTTCCAGCAGTTGATTCACCAGCCAACCCCAAATCAGACAACACAAGCTGTACGATATTACTTTTTTTTTTTTCCAGAAACAGCACCCTCACCTGGTCAGACAAATAAGCTGCATATTGCCTTTCACCCTTTGAATAAGCTGCAGCAGCCTGAAAAGTTCACTTTACATAAACTACATGTATCCAATTACTAATCTTATACCCATATATAACCAACAGTCTAATACTCGCTGTTGGTAGCTAGATCTGTAGGTTCATTTGAGGTTTAAAGTTTGAACATTCTGTTTTGTGACCAAAAAAGAAGACAACAGAACAAACAGAAGAAAAGACTATGGTACCTATTCACATGAACAAGAAAAGAAGTTGTAATATGTTCTTACCCTATGAAAGTAGGATGTCCTAGAATCCCAGTGTTGCTTCGCAGATTCTCTAAGGACACGATACTCATCGCCTTTAGCTACAAGTCCATATAAGAAATGTGTAACAAGACATGCTTAAGAAACCAAAAGATGAAGCTTTCAGCTTGCTAAGCAACAAGAGACAGATGTAGCAAACAGAATAAGAAAACCATGCATACTATAAATCAGTATCATATACCATCCATGTCTAGCTCAGATGCATCATCGCTAAGTAGAGGCACATCAACAGGCCCAAGTGACTGCATTTTCTTTACTATTTTCTTCCAATTCATAGAGTGTGGTTCATGTTTGGAACTCTCTGTAATGCTGTACAAAGAATCCAGCACCTTTTGAGGAAGTTCTGATTTGCTAATTTTTGGGACAGATGGAGATGGAGCTTCTGAATTAGTGAGGACTTGAGCATAATTCCTGAAACAAAACAAAAAAAACAACACAGCTTTTCCATCAGTCGGGTTTAGGATGACACAAAAGCCAACCATCATCCTAGTATTGGCTGAATGGACTTTCAGTTAAAGGGGTCCATTTCATCCAGCTGAAACTATTGGCATCCGAAACACATACATAGTAGGGTTAGCATCTTCTAGAATCTATCATTCCTTCATACTATTGCACTAGTTTAATCCTTACAAAAGGATAAACTTAAATAAACATAAGAAATAACAAGTCATGGTCTTACTCCGAAGTGAAACATACTACTGGAAAGTTGTTTCTGCAGCGAAACATGCATCACATGACAAAGTACCACGTAGTTTATGAATGAATGAATTTCATCCACCAAAAAGAGTTAAATGAATATTGAAGCGGGTAAATGAAAATATACAATTATATCTAGTGTAATGCGCAGACTAGATTATTTAAGCCATCACATCACGTCTTCTTTCTACCAACATATGTACTATCGCTCAAAAGGGAAAATTATTAGGTCAAACAAGCCAGGAACTCGGACCCACTAAACAGTATAAAGAAAAGGCATCGCAAAGATGCACAAATATCTTAAATTTAAGGCAGAGAGCATCAAATTCGTATGAAACATTTTACTACCAATACCTATATCTGTAGTAGGAAACACTTTAGAATTACCTGTAACCATAGTCCCACACATTCTCATTGAGATCGCTTTCAGATGAATAAGAAGTGCAATCAGAAGCCTTGTCTATGAACTGTGAATCAGAGAAAGGCAAGTCAGTGACCTACCCCATTAATGTGTTATTGATCCCACAGAACATAGTATTGCTCATTGTTATGCACTCAAAATCAGAGAGAAGAGTAAGAAAAGAGGAGGGGCACTCTGATAATGCCCACCACTTACATTGTCAGCGTAATAAGTATATTGCTTTTTGCTGCAATTACTAGATTGCTCGGAGGTTGATGCGGATAGATCAATCAAGGCATCCATGGCCTGGGAAAAGAGATTGCATTAACCAACTATCATTCACCATCGGCAAGGTGGCCTATAGAGGGGATAAGTCACCAAGTTGAATCAGTAAAGCTCAACGCCTCACTACGACCAACTACTTAAGGTGCAAGCTAAAACCAAGCAATAGATAAATCCAGTCCTAGTTTACATCTTAATTTTAACAGAAAGACCGAAAGCCCTGACAGCAGCGTACAAATCAAATAACTTACATGGTGAGCGGAAGGGGTCTAGTAATCTGATTGAAAACAGCTGACTTATCGAGTACGAAAAATTAAAAGAACGATGACAATATTAGCTTACAATCTTCTCTATATACCTTCTCAACGTTGTAACCACATTGGCCTGCACAAGCAAATTACAGCTACGGATTACGCAAGTATCATAATTTTCCTCCCACCATTCACTGAAGTTCCAACTGCGGAGCAGCACACTCACAACTCAAATAAATGAAGAAAAACTCACATAGAACGTCTCTGACAACCGCCAGGTTCAGCTCGCTATCTTCACCAAGCATGGAACAGAGGAACTGCGCGGCATCTTCTCGGTCTGGGGCACCATTACCAAACTCCTTCGATTTCGAGGAATCCCTTCTCTGGCTGGCCTTAACATACTCCTTCCCCAGCAACGTCGAAACCGTCCCGGTAACTGCCACCACTTTCTTCTGCTTGTTATTCCCTCGAAACCCCTTTCCCCCACCGATCAAATGCCCTTCCATGGACCCTTCAGACGAGCCAGAACTCGAAGAAGAACTGCAGGAGCTGCCGGATCCAGACCCGGTATCGAACCCCGAAACCCCGCTGCTCGACACGTCGGCGTTGTCGGCCATCGCGGTCAAAATCTCGGCAGCCCTGTTGACGTCACCGTTGGCCTCCTTGTACGCGGCAGCCGCTTCGTGGATCGATACCGAGTCAAACGCCTCCATCAGCGCGCCCAGGATCTTCCGCTCTTCCTCCTGGGGGCTCGGCCGTACGCCCGCGGCCGGTCCCACCGCGGGTGTAGGATTCGAGGGACGGCTCTTCTTCTTCCTCTTGGCCTGCTTCCTCATGATCGGAAGGGGGGAGAGAACAGGAAATCGCGCCCCGGAATCGGAGCAGCGGAGGCTGGTGGTGCGTGGGGCAGTCCCGACCGAAACCCTAGATCTTCGGGGAGGAGGAGAGGGAGATTTTGACGACGGAGGAAGGAAATGGGGAGAACGTAGGAAGAGGGTTACGGGACCAGAGAATGCCTAAGAATGGAAAATTGGGGAAATGAGCGGTGGTGGAGGAGCGGCGGGTGGTAGTTGGGAGGAGAGATTTTGATAGATTCAATCATTCATTTCACCATCAAACGCATAAATCCAAATGAGAGAGATAATTGCAGCGGGGCACTATCTATCGAGAATCTCTCCGCCACGAACCGTTGACCTACCCCACTTTCTCTTGGTTTCAGTTTAACTTCCTTTTCGGTTTTTACATGTATATCATTTTCGGTTTCTCGACTTGGTAATGGAGTAGACTATTAAATATTAATTAAACTTGGATATATTTACTATTTAGGGGGGTTTTGCAAGTACCTATGCTTTTAATTTATGTTTTAGATTTTTTATTAGTAGATTTTTATGAATTATCTTAAATTAGCTCTCGTACAAGGCGGCTTAGCTCCTTGCAAAACTCCCCGCCAAAAGTTGATTACTAAGGGGACCATCCGATGTCCAACTAGGTAACGGAGACTAGATATATCGGGTGAACAAGAATGTAATGACTGGTATATAAGTGAGTTAGTTGTGAATGGGATTGATATGTCGAGGCATGGACTTATTTTGACACGATTGGGAACTCAGAATCACGATTGTGTCTGTTACTTGAGAGTCTCGAGTGTGAGGATACTCTTGATGATATAGTGAAGATGTTGCAAGTGTTCTCTCGAGAAAACTAGAGTCTAGCTCAATAAGGAGACGACTATCTTATGATAAATGATCCTCAACGTTGAGGGTCATAACAATAGAGCCCCGAAACCCCGACTAGGGTTCTAGCAGATACCATGCATACACTCTTTACAGGGATTCTGCAACCACCTCCCTTCCTCTAAGGGAGCTTATGTAGCTCTGTGTAAGAGAGCAAGAAGTTTTGGTGCTTGGTTGATTCTGACTCTAGGATATGGCCATGAGACGGTGGACGATGAAGACTAGAATGAATGAAACATTGACTTACCGCCCACCGGAGACCGGACCCTCTTCCTGTTTGCAGGAAAAAAGCTAATTAATCGGGTCGGTTAGCATGCTAACTTCTTGAGGGGTTGGAAAAATGACACTCATGAGGTATTAAATACAACTATAGAATTTAATACACGCATTAAATACACATTAGGAATTAAATGCACCATATTAATTATTTGTTTTTTTTCAAATTAAAATCTACACTAAATACATTCTCTCTCCCTATTTCTAATTTATTCTTTTTCAGCAGCCTCTGACCACCAGACTTTTTCCGACCGCCACACTTCTCCGGTGAAAATCCCATCGACAGACTCCCCCCGACCACCTGCAAAAAATATACCACTGCACTAATACGTTGTACCACTGCACTAGTAGCTATACCACTGCACTGGTAGCGATATCAGTGCACTGTGCACTAGTACCAATGTCATATCTGAGTATCAGTGCAGTGGTACAAATACCAGTACAAGATATCAGTGCAATGGTATATTTTCGCAGGTGACCGGAGAGAGTCTGCAGACGGGATTTTACCGGCAAAGTGTGGTTGTCGGAGGAAACTTGGTGGTTGAAGGTTGCTGGGAAAGGAAGAATCAGAGATAGGAGAGAGAAAGATCAAAGATGAGAGAGAGAATTGTATTTTGTATATGTTTAGATTTTTTTTAAAAATAAATAATTAATGTGGTGTGTTTAATGCTTACTTTGTATTAAATAATAGAGCATTTATTATGTCTATCTTCATTAATACTTGTGAATGATTAATGAAAAAATTGACCAATTGAGAAAGGGGTGTCAAAAAACAAACCCTTTTAAGGGTACGCATATTATCCTACCCCTAATCCATCGACATTGGCGGTCAACTTTCATTATTTAAATAAGGGTCAGTTCTACCTTTTAATTTCATAGAACGTTAACTAACAGGCTGCAAACCGTCTTTTCCAATCTACAAGAGACGACAACAGCTTTTATGTGTAACAAACAGAAAGCCAGGCTGCTTCCATGAAGAAAACCCCAGAAAACAGGAGAAGTACAATAGAAAGGTAGAGAAATGCCATCAACCGCCGGATGTTGAGTCAGAAGTTGAGACTTGCTCGTACATAGTTTCGACAGACTGTGCTGCGCCTGTGCATTTGAGAAGTTGGATGTCTTGCTCCATCGCTGCATAGGAACTTGGAGGATGCCAGTGACATTCTTGAACTGAGCATTGAAGGACTGTTCTTGATGCGCAAAGGGATGCCTCGAACTGTTCGTGTCCGACCGGTCTAAAGAAATTCAGCCTATTGGCACTGCCTTCTTGGAGCTGCATCTTCCTTTTCTGCACCTCTTCTCTCACTCTCTGCAAGCACAAAACAGATCTCTAGTAAATACTTATCGAAAGTGACAAAAGAGACCAAGTACAGATCAGAACTTCGATAAAACACATGGAGAGAGGGGATCAAAGAACATCCCACAAACATTTCCAACTAGTGACCCCAAACTCCCAGCATACATGCAATCTAGGAGATGCAATGTAGGCAGCAGAAGATTCGGAAACTGTATCAACATCAGAGACTAACCCTACAAACAGGTTTTGGAAATTGAGATATAACAAAGTTCAACTCAAGATGATCATCGGTAGCAAGGAGCGATGTGGGGTTCTAGATTTCCATTTAGGATTTTATACATATATCTATTCCACCTCATATGCACAGTTTGAGAACAAGATTTATCGTAAAGCATCAATCGCCACATCTAAGTGACTTTCATACACAGAAAGCTACGATGCAATGCTCATTTCAGAAACTTTTTATCTTTCAATCATCCATTAGGCACCACATGAGATTCTTATAGAGCATAAAACAACCATGCAGCGTCACCTCGCACTAGCACTAACGAAGACGACCATTTTATAGGTCGAAAAGGCATCAATTATCAAGCACTATCCATGGAGTCAATTCCTTCTTATCTATGCCATTTGCCCTGAAGGAGAAATGCTGCACCAGAGTCCTCTAATTTTCAACTGGGACTGCAAACTAACGCTCTGATTTTCGACCAGAATAATTAGCAAACATTTAATGATCAACATCTAGCCACAAATGCCATGTTCATATGTTCCTGCCAAACCAACAGTTGTCCCATGCTGTGATGTTGATTGTTGATGGGGGTTTCGGTTCAAGGTGCTGGCAGGGCCCCTTTCAGGGCTAGTTTCTTCTGGTTTGGATCAGTTACGAACAAATGGTCAATCAAACTCTTGATAATTCCCAAACTTTCACCTAACAAGTTCATATCAAATCTAAGAACAACCAACAGAACACCATCAATAAATGTAGTAAGGAACCAACCTGCATTACCCTGGCGGAGAACCGTGGCAATCCAATTTGCTGAACAGTAAGTGCACCAAAGAAGTTCCCCAGCAAGGCGGCATCAGGAACGGCCAAGCCATGAACCAAGCCGGCCACAAATCCACCCAAATAGCTATCCCCTGCACCCGTCGGGTCTTTCTGGCTAACCAGGAATGGCGAAATCTTGGTATTCCCATCTTTCGAATACACAGTACACCCATCTTTCCCATTCGTCACCACCACGCAACACAATTTCCTCACCTCCTCCAGGTCCAAGAACAGGGCCTCCTCCGATGAAACCTTCAGAACCCCAATCCGCGGCAGCAGCCGAAAGAACCCCGTCTCCCGCAGCTTCACAAGCTTCACCGTTCCATCCACCTCATCGAAATCCCTGATCAACGCCTGAACATCGACGAACACCAGATCGCAGATCTGGATCATCCTCTCCAGCGTCTCCGGCAAAACCTCCCCGCCAACCCCAACCGCCATGCCAAACGCGAACTTCGCCTCGGGAAGATCCGCCGGGAGAATCGGGTCGCACGAACAAACCCTTTTCAACACCCGGTCGGGGCGCCCTTTACCGGACGAACCCGAATCAAAGTAGGCGTGGAAGACGGTGGTTCTTGCGCCCGGGGACACGATGGGAGGGTGATTAACCGGGTACTGGAAATCATCGCCGACCTTGGAGACCAACATGCAAGGGATTGATATTTCGTTGAAGACATTGGATATGAAGGAAGCGGCGCCGCCGAGGGATTCGGCCTTAACGACGGAGTCCTGAATCAAGAGGTCGTGGCAGTAGTTGCCGACGATGAGAATGTCGCCGGGTGAAGGAGGCTGGGGAGAGGTAACCATTGCGAGGATGAAAGAGAATTGTGGCAGATTGAGGGGTACAACATGGATGGCGAAGTGATTGGGGATCTTGGAGAGGTAAAGCTTATATTCGTTCTCTCCCCAGAACGGGACTTCTCGCCATTCCTCCTCCTTAGCTTGGGCTTTTGTCGGGGGTCTCCACCGCCGGCTTCTTTCTATGCTAAAATGCTGGCAGGGAAGGGGAAATCAGGACTGCCGTTGTTTGACGAGGAGAGAATCGATGGAGAGGCCGTCGAAATTGGTTGGAGTAAGATAATTAGATGAACGAGCAGGAAAAATTGTATTTTCGTGGGCTTACAGTAATTTTTGTATTTTCACCCGGTAAAACCTGACAATTTTATGCTCTTTTGGCTGCTTGGGAATAACGCTCTCTTTATATATAAACCGTGGATTTATTTTTTTTTTGGTTTGTATGGATGCTGGTTTTTTTTGTTCTCGGAGGTGACGTGGCACAGACACGTGTAAGCGTCCAAATTTCTTTAATAATAATAATGTAATAAAATATAATAGTATAAATGTTGTTCGTTCAGGTTTAAAATGTAATGTTTATTTTTTATTTAAATTTTTTTTTAATTCTTTTATATTATCTAAACATATCGAAATACTAAGAATTAATCAAATGTTAACTTTTAGTTAGCAATTTTGTTAGTAATATTAACTTAGCAATATGATACTGACTTGGAAGAGACACATGAAGGTCAACTTTTTAAAATTCTAGTATTTTAACTAAGAAAAGAGTTACAAAATTATATAACGATAACGTAAAAATTATTAATATTTTGATGCATTATGAAAGATTCGGCTAATTAATAGAATTTTAATAGGTTTGGATAATATAAAAGAATATGAGAAAGGTTTGAATAAAAAATAGACATTACCCAAAATTTTATTGAAAAAGTAAGCATAAAGTATTTTATGTTGAAATCGTAGTTCAACCATGCATTAACCATTTCATATTGTTTATCGGTTTAGTTTTCAGTATAAAGTTTTTCTAGTCGAACACCGATAGGGACATAAGGTACAGTTTTTCAATTCTTGCTAATAATATTCAAAAGTTCGTATTAAGGTATTAACCCTATTTTATAACCAATGTTATTAGTCGTTCAAAGATATTATCAAGTACAAAACGTAATATATGTTCACATCCTAACATACTCAGTATTTTACTAATTATAAAATAGTAAGGAAGACAAATTTTTTTTTTTTTTTAATGTAGGGAAGACATTTCAATCATAGTAGATAACACATTTTGGGCATGATCATAAATTCATAAACAGAGATTACATCCTGTAATCAAACTGCTTCAGTCCATATGGGTGGTGCAGAGGGAAGATGGAGACGTGTCGTAAAGAGAAGCAAACCATGCAGCTCATATAAAGAAACACATTGCTGCAATGTACAGCAGTAGAAAAGTCTGGACTGATAGACATGACAGATGGATCATTGAACAGAGATGAGGCTTCGTCTATCCTCGGAATGAGAGCAGAGAAGTGAACTGTCATTTTACAAGCCACAATGATATACAAATTTTGCAGCTTCAACTTGAGAACGAGCAAAGCAGGTTGTTGATCGTTTTCGCTGAAGCCAAACTTGGCATGAAACTAACAAATGTGGATGACTTGCATGATAACAATAATACAGAGCCATTGTCTGCAAGATCGTCTGAATCAGGTCTCACCAGCCTGACAAAACAACAATTCCCATGGTCAATCGTTACGAATGCCTCCCATGAAAGTTCTTGGATCAGGGCAGTTCCCTGTAAATTGAGCTTGCGAGAAGTCGAAACCGGGGTTCTGCATAAATGGAAGGTTCTGTTATTAGCAACTGCGAAGATGACAAAGTAAGATTCATGCACGAAACTGACAGAGAATCGAGTGGACGGCAGTGGTTTAGCATAGAGCATTACTGCATTAGTGAGTCTATCAGTTTCACCGCGACACAACATTGGAGCATAATGCTGCCGCAGAGCCATAGAGATGCAAGGCGAATTGAGCATGGATTAAAAAAATTAAAAAGAGTTCCTTGCTCAAGGTTGATTACCAAATTGAACAATGCTGACCCAATAAAGACATTTCAATCAAAAACCAGAAACCCAAATCTCATAATCACAGTGTTACGTCACCAGTGTGGTAGAGATATTCACGAATGAGGATGGCATTTTACTTTGAAATTAGCAGGAAAACATTGAACCACACCATCGTAGTTGAAAATAATGACAATGACAGTCTACCGATTAAAATATCACATCGACACATTCGTCTCCAAACCAGGAAAAACACTAAGCTATCAAACCTACTGAAGCTTCTGGCGCTTCCGTTGAACTTTCTTTCACATAACAATGTCACCAAATCTTAGCATAATTAAACCAAAATCCAGAAGGAGATTACTACTTTTCTCATATACCACAGTTTCTTCTCAAGAATTCCCTGAGCTCAAAAAGTTCCTAGTATTAGTAAGATTTCCAATTATTATATTGTGGAAGAAATCTTAACAAAATCTGGCAATACCAACAGAAGCTACACTCAAAAGGCTACTGGTTATGCATTAAATCCCAGAACCACAATTCTGAAAGATGGATGAACCAGCAAACACGCCAAACTCTAATGATCAATTAAAATCGTTGGTGCAGTATGCAGGCGTTGAGCCGCAATATAAACAAGCAAAAGGAAAATATTTGCACATGTATAATCGGCAATAACTGGTGAGAAACCAAATCACACGCAGAAGCAGCTTACCTCTTCCTGAAATCTCTGGAGCATAAGGCGCTTCTGTTCAACATCAGCTGCATAAGGATCCAGCTGGCCATCGCCCATAAGAGGAGAAGCCCACATCTGCCCCTTATCCCTCTTTTGCAGAGTAATGTGCATTATATCATCCTCTAACACACGACAAGAAAAGAACCCAACTTAATTCACTAATACTACCCATTTCCCGTTAACAGGCGGATGATTAGATCGTCCTTTTGTAACCTTCCAGACTCTCCGCAAGTGTTCCGAAACCTACACAGTCCACACCGCATAGCAGAAACGTAGATAGCAAAATTTGACGTACCTATAGTCCAGAAAGAACAGTCTGCCTTCACCGGATGAGCGAGGTCATGCTGCAAATCAATCAAATTACAGAAATCACATAATCGTTCGAATTGAGCACAGACTAATCGAATTTGAAGAGTATGCAGACACCGGAACCGACGTCGAGAAAAGGAGGGCTGCCCTTGATGCCGAAGGTGAGATGATTGGACCGAATCACGCAGTGGAATTGCTGCGGACGAACTTCCATCGGCCTCTTTATGTACATATTAACCTCGTCTAGGGTTTGGTCCCATTCAAACACCGTGTTGCCTGCAGAAATAGCAGAGCAGCCAGGAGGACGCAATCAGATAGAAGGAACTCAATCGGCTCACCGCAATCAGATATCGGAAGTAGTCTACTGAATCGACTAAGAGTCGGAATCAGAATGAGGGAGAAATTGGGGGAAAATGGAGACCGTTGTGAACGAAACTGTGACGCTTCTCCGGAGCCAATTTCTCTGCCATTGCGTCCCTTCCTCTACGTTGCGTGAGCGGTGGGCCTGTTCGTATGTATGTTTCTATTGGCTTCTCCCTCTCCTGCTTGCTCTGTTCTGTTTTCTGGTGGAATTAGGGCTGGGGAAATTGACGAGGCGGAAAATAGTTGACAAACTGGACCGCAGAGTTTAGTCCGGGACCTAGTTCGTCAAGAATGGTATGATTTGTCTCGTGATGAAAACACAACACACGTTTCAAGAGTTTTACTTGTAACTCATAAGTGGAAGACGACGTTGGTGTCGAAAATCTTTGTTGTTTATTGATTGATTCATCAGACTAATGTCGTAGTTACAATATATAAGCGACTAAACCTATTATGTAACCCTAGCTAACCCCAACTCTTAATACGAATCCCGACCCACAAGTTGCCACAACTACTACTCTACTACTCGGCTGCAACTTAGGCCAAGTCCAATGCAAAACCCCAAATTTGGGGGCCTTGAACTCCAAATTTGGGGATTGAACCCCATTTTCCCTTCTTTTGCTCCAATGCAACAAACTCCATATTTGGGGTTCTTAATATTTCCAGTTTTTCCATTTATTTAAAAATGTACTTATCGAAACTTTAATATAATTTATTCATGTTAATTTTTGTATAGTTCGTCATCATTTTTAAATACAAATTTTTCGATAGAATTTTGTTAAATTTCGAGACCGAATTTTTTTTAGTGAAAAATTATGGACCTAATTTGGGTTTACACACAACACTTAAAAATGATAAAGTTTAATGAGTTGACATAATAATTCAAATGGTACAATTCATAGGTTACACACAACACTTGCTAATCATAAAGTTTAAATATTACACACAACACTTGCTAATCATAAAGTTTAAAAATAACACACAACACTTGAAATGATTAAAAAGAAACACATAACATGTCAATAATCACCCAGAAGGGAATAGTAATTCCCGTAATCTCCTCCACCTTCATCTCCTCCACCTTCATCTCCTCCTCCATTTCCATCTCCACCTCCAGTTTGACTTGCGTTGGATGAATAGTCGGGAACAGAGTTGGGATCATCTTGATCATACCCTAGGAGCATGTTTTGATGATTTTTGTAAAACTTCCTCTTTCTTGGTGTCAACTTCAACAAGTCCTTTTCAATAAGATCAAGATTGTTCCGAAATAATGCTGCTTCCCTCTCTTTTTTCTCAACTTCCCACTTTTCTTGGTCACGCTTTGATTTTTATTCTTGGAATTGCTCATACTCAGTCCTCAAAGCATGCCTCTCCTTCAACTCACTTCCATACTCCAGCAATTGAGCAGTGTAGCTCTCTGATGACTCGACAACCCCCTTTCCTTTCTTCTTAGCTGCCTTTTGTTTGTCGCGTCCAGCAGGGCGAGATATGACAAATGGTGGAGTTTCTTCGACGAACGGTGGAGTTTCTCCGACGAATGGTGGAGTTTCTTCGTCTCCTTCTGTGTTATTGAGGTCTGTCTGTGGTGTTGATTGATAACCAAGACCCATGGGAGAACCATCAGAACCTTGACTCATGCGGCTTTGATTTGAAGATGGCATTGTTATCACGGTATGAAATTTTTGGCATATTTTCAAGATCCACCAACAATGACCAAAATTCCACCCCTTTTCTCCGGTTTCGCTTAAATAGAGATGTTCTGCCATATGCTCCTTTCCTACCATTAATCACATTAATTGCGCGTGTGCCAACAATTCTTCCATTCCCCATAAATGCCGACCTCGGCATTCCCTCCCCCATATTTAGCGACCCAGATGCCGATGCCCTCCATAAATGCCGATTTTCGCCATTTTTCGTCTCTGCGTTGGAGCTCCAAAATCGCCATTAATGGCGAGAACTCCATAAATGCAGGCTGCATTGGAGTCAGCCTTAGCCCATGAAACTCATGTAACTTAGATACCTAAGTACTAAACCTAAACAAAGGTAGGATAACCTAAACCCATCAACCCAAATACGGACTAGTCCCAAGCCCAAATATATATACTCATCAATCTTTTTCGTTTTAACTCGGATTTTAATTTTTTTTGCACAGATGGAACGAGTTCATCATGCTCTACCAAATGAGAACAATTTTCAATATTTTTTTAGAAAAAAAAAATTCTGGCCTCTCGGTACCAACTGCATACCATATGGTATCTTCTTCGTTTTTAATTCGTTTTTGAAAAAGTTTGCACAAAAGGGATGAGTTCATCATGATCTATTGGATCTACAAATTTCTGGGTGAACAAATTACAGGACCAAAAATACCACACAATACCATACAATACCACCCTGGTACGGGGTGGTATTGTATGGTATCTTCTTCGTTTTTAATTCGTTTTTGAAAACGTTTGCACAGAAGGGACGAGTTCATCATGATCTATTGGATCTACAAATTTCTGGGTGAATAAATTACAGGACCAAAAAATACCACACAATACCATACAATACCACCCTGGTACGAGGTGGTATTGTGTGGTATACAATGTTAAAGGTCGTAAATGACAATTAATATACTTCTACTATCATGTATTCAACCATCCTACAGTCTTGGTTTGTTCATACCACCATGGTACGTTTTTCAAACCATAGGTATGCTTTTATTTCAATACCAGTCAATACCATATGGTATAGACTGGTAAAAAATGGCTCAATTTTTTTGTTCGAAAAATATATTAAAGTGGATATCATTTTGAAGAGCACAATTAATCTGATCTAACTGTGCAAAAAAAAAATTAAATTTCGACTTAAAATGAGTGAGAAATCGTCCGTCAAAAATTAAAGAGGGGAAAATTAGGGATGACAAAAATATCCGTAACCGTGGATATCCACCCGAATCCGATCTAATCGGGTAGGGTAAAACCCGAACCCGAAGCATTTTCCGTGGGTACGGGTAAAACCCGAACCCGAATATTGCGGGTAATGGGTGGGCATGGTTATCTCACTATCCAACCCGAACCCGCCCGATTATACACATGCATATGTATTTTGTCTAGAAATAATCATTATTTTTCCCTAGAATATTTTATATTTAGCATATAAATATAATATTTTCATGAAATTATGTTGTTTTAATTAATTTTCGTCATTCTAGTGAATTATTGTTGTACTTTTCCTCTTACATAATGTGAATATACGTGTGAATGTTAACATATTGGTTGGAATTATAAGGAGAAATTATTACCCATGGATAATCGTGGATACCCGAAACCCGAACGGGTATGGGCATGGTTTTGATTTTCTACCCGTTTCTCGTGTGGGTACGGGTATGGGTAAAACCCGAACTACATTGGGTAGGGTAACGGATATGCACTATCCGCCCCCGACCCGACCCATTGCCATCCCTAGGGAAAATTAAAGGGTTTCCAGGAGAGAGAGGATGCTGATGTGGGCTGGTTACTCATGGTTACTCACCATAAGGTTACTGACCTGATCCGTTCCCCATCAACGCGAGTAGGCATAGGTAACTCCTTGGCCACTTCTATTTTCCCATCGAATGAAACCCACATCTCCTCTTCCTCCTCAAACGAGAAACAGTCAGGCGACCACTTGGTCGGCGCCCATGCCTTGATCCTTGGCCCTTTCTTCGCTCGCACAGCTCCGTTCAACACCTATGCTTCGCGCGTCCAATCCCGAACAACCCACTAAGTGGCTTGGGCTTGCGGTTCAGTGACGATCGTTTGATTGAACCCACGTCTTCCCCGCCGCGAACAACTAATCCCGCTTCCTAAAACAAAGCTCGAAGTTTAAGCTTCGCCTTCCCGCAATTTTCTGATCGAAGGATGATAGCCTCGCATCAACGAGGTTCACTAGTGCACACTGTTTTCTTTCCGCCGATCTTGTTGACGGAGATCTTGGTATCCTCCACCGCCTCAGCTGCCTTTAATTCGTTGGCGTCGAAGTTGGCTGCGTCGGCGGCGCTCCATCCACCGCAAGCTGCGGTCGCACGGTTAGGGTTGATCTGCAACCCCCACAGAACTCACGCCCATTCCTTATGTAGGGCAGCGCTTCGTACGCCACTGGTACGCACCAGCTCCCATAGCTCCTCAGTTTGACGCCGCAAGTGATGAGCGACTGACGCATCATCATGGTCCATGGCTCTGATACCAATTGATGGAAACGTAACCCACGTTTCAAGGGTTTTACTCACAAGCGGGAGACGACGTTGGTGTCGAATACCTTTGTTGTTTACTGATTGATTCATCGGACTAATGTCGTAGTTACAATATATAGACGACTAAATCTAAAATATGTAACCCTAGCTTACCCCAACTCTTAATACGTATCCCGCCCCACAACTACTACTCTACTACTCGCCTGCAACTTAGCCCATGAAACCCATGTAACTTAGATTACCTACATACTAAACCTAAACAAAGGCTAGGATAACCTAAACCCATCAACCCAAATACAGACTAGTCCCAAGCCCAAATATATATACTCATCATCTGGTTAGAGTATGTATTATAGGTTGTATTTATTTGATCCGATTTAGTATAGATTGTTGTTTATCGGAACAAACTATGAATCATTCCACTTCTGAATTCGTGTTAGCAGGTCACTCGTTCACTCTCTCAACTCATCAACTAGATCCAAGTCTCAATCCTAAATTTGTGTATATTGTCCCATCCTTCATTCATAAATCATAATCTGCCATAGAGTAGAAACAAATGTGTCTACATATAACATTATGTTGAAGTTTATGAAGTGCAAGTTGGGTTGTTGTGACTTTGTATTTTTATAATTTAATTGGATTTATGGTATCAAAATTATGCATGCGTATAGGAATTTATATTTTAAGGGGAAAAAATTCTCGATTATAGTTTCGATTTTTGTGTGATGACTAAACAAGTTGTTTATTTTTTTCGCTCAATGTGATTTGCATGGTCCAATTGGAGTTTCCTATGGAGAAATTCGGTTTAGATGGTTAAAGAGCATGCTCTGATGTAACCTTCTAGTCTATCACCCCCTCTCGATCCAAGTCCTCTACGTGAAATAGAGGAGCCTCTCCAAAACATAGAGAAGCTGCAGCCTGGGAGAGATTGTTGAGCAAGCTTGTGCATGACTAGATCACAATGGCCTTTTAACTAATACGCAAGAATCAGAGGATGGAGAGGCGAGCCATGAGGACGTTATGGAGAAACAGGAATTCATCAAGGCTAGTTTCCATAATGATAAAGATAGAGAATTTCCAGTCTGGATACCCGCACCCTTCCCCATCCCCAGGCTCGTTCAGTAGAGATAGACATGACTTATGAAAGTGGAGCAGAAAGTTGATTTTGTTGACCAAATGTCGTGGCAACT